ATGTTAGATGGAGAGATGCCATGGCTAGTGAAATTCGAGCCCTCCAAAGTAATGAAACATGGGACATTACTCCTCTACCTAGCAGGGAAGAAGCCTCCGGGTTGCAAGTGGATTTATAAAATCAAATATCATTCCGATGGGAGCGTTGAACGCTTCAAAGCCCGATTAGTTGTCTTGGGAAATCACCAAGTTGAGGGGATTGACTATGACGAGACCTTTGCCCCAGTGGCAAAGATGGTCACCATTCGGACAAGTGTTGGCGAGTGGCGAGCAGCCAAAGACCGGGAACTCCATCAAATGGATGTCCATAATGCTTTTCTCGCACGGCGATCTTGAGGAAGATGTGTACATGAAAATGCCGCCAGGGTTCTTGGTGTCTCAAAAGGGTATGGTGTGTCGTCTCCGCAAGTCCCTTTATGGTCTTCGTCAAGCTCCTCGGTGTTGGTTTGCCAAGCTCTCAACCGCTCTTGTTCAATATGGGTTTCAACGTTCTTCGTCTCGATCACTCCTTGTTCATCTTTCGCAAAGGAGATGTCGAACTGGTTGTGTTAGTTTACGTGGATGACCTAGTCATTGCTGGCAATCATCATGAAGACATTGCGCAATTCAAAGATTATCTTCATCAATGTTTTCGTATGAAGGACTTAGGGAAATTAAAATACTTTCTGGGGTGGAGGTTGCCGGATCTCCTACAGGAATTTTCTTGTGTCAACGGAAGTATGCGTTGGACATCATAGCCGAAGCGGGATTGCTTGGAGGGAAACTCGTGTCCACGCCAATCGAAGAAAATCATCGTTTAGCATTGGTTGATGGCGAACTACTTTCCGACCCGAGTCAATATCGACGTCTCGTCTGGTCGCCTTATTTACTTGTGTTTTACACGACCCGAATTATCTTACAGTTGTTCATGTCCTATCTCAATTCATGCACCAACCGCGTCGAGAGCATTGGCGGGCTGCACTCCGCGTGGTACGCTATTTAAAGGGCAGCTCGGGTCGAGGTGTGCTTTTAAAAGAGAGAGTGACCTTCGTCTTTATGGTTGGTGTGACTCGGACTGGGCAAGTTGTCCTCTCACTCGAAGATCTCTCACCGGTTGGTTTATTTTCCTTGGTCAATCCCCCGTTTCCTGGAAAACCAAGAAGCAACATACGGTTTCTCGATCATCCGTTGAGGCAGAATATCGTTCTATGGCCAACACGACATGTGAGTTGAAATGGCTTCAAGGCCTTCTTTCGAGCCTAGGCATTACTCACACCGACCCTATGACTCTCTACCGTGACAACCAAGTCGCCCTTCACATTGCCAAGAATCCCGTGTTTCATGAACGGACAAAACATATTGAAGTGGATTGTCATCTTATTCGTGATGAAATACAACACAATCATATCCAACCCTCCTATGTGTCCACTCATCATCAACTGGCTGATCTCTTCACCAAATCTCTTGGCGCCACTAAATTTGGTTCTTTTTTAGGCAAGTTGGGCATTCATAACCTTCATACTCCATCTTGAGGGAGGGTGATAAACATAGAATATACGATTACAAATACCGTATCATGCCATGATTATTTTTTCCATATTTAGCTTGGCATGACAGCGATGCACATTAATTTCATATCTGTTAATAGACAAATTTAGGATACCGACTATAATGGTTAGCGTAATTATAGCCTAGAATGTTTCTATATTTCATGTATATATTGTGCTATCATATTCAATACAAGGCAGGGGTTTTCGGAAATATTTTTATCATTAGATGACTGAAATATTTGACACCTCTCCGAAATATTAAATGTACTATAAAAAAATAGGATATAATGATCACATAAAAACTTAAGTAGATATATATTCTATAAAAGATTTTATATTTTTCACTCTCAAGTGTTTTTTTTTTTTTTTCTCAATACATACTTTCATTCATTTGACTAACTTAACCATTGAAAAATATTTATTATTTTTACATGTTGAAACATTTTTAAAAAATATCTCTTAAAATTCAATCAAGTCTCTAGATCTAAATAAGAATAATATATAAATAGTTTATACTTAAAAAAATCATAATTTTAAAATTTTGTTTAACTCATAGAATTTAATATTAGGTAAAAAATTATTCAGGTGGAAAATGGTAAATATTATAAACTTTTCATAAGAATTAAAAAATATAGTTGATTTTGTTAATCCATAATTTTCTTATATATCAATATTTTTTGTTGTGATATTCAAATCACAATTTATATGAATAAAATAATAAGCGCTTTAATTTAATCCTATAAATATAAAATTAACGTGGATTTTTTAATTTATATATTAAATGAATATTAAAAATATGTCTTAATGCATATTAATTTGATATTCAATAATTTTTGAAATATTTATTTAATGTAAGATATACTCAAATACAAATAAGAACCTACCCGAACACGAACACGAACACGAACACGAACACCCCTAAATAAGTAAATGAGTTGATAATCTTAAGAATTCAGTTGGAAAGTTCTTTGTCTACACACGAGACGACACATTACACCTTGACTAGAGTAAATGCAAAAGTGATGGTCCCAAAAAATTATCTTGAGTCCTGCCTCTGAGAAGTAGTGGTTATAGAATTAATAATTTTTATACCATAATATAAAATAATATGTAATGTGAAAATAATATAAAATAATCAATAAATATATTTATTTTATTATTATTATTATACCATAATATTTAACACATCTTTGATATAATGATACTATTTTCTAATGTCCTAAACGCAATACAAAAAAAAGTCACCGACATAATAAAAGCCTGACAAAATGGAATAATAATTTATTTGAAAGAATCGGAATTCTCGGAAACCTGCAGCTTTAGTACATGAAATGGAATCCCTCCATTTTGAAAACTAACATGTGGTCTCGGCTAAAAGACGTAACACGAGGGAAAAACAATCACTTAATTAGAACCCAAAGGAAAGGAAAAATATATAAAAAAGAAAGAAAAAAGAAGAAAGATGAACCCTGTGAAAAAATCACTTGAAATTGAAGGAAGGAACATATTTGTGAACCTTTTTTCTTTTTTCTTTTTTTTTTTGTGATAAATGCCATTAATATTGAAATGTAATTGGTTTTATAAATACAAAACTTGTACTCTAAGAGACTCACACTCACCCATTGCATGTGGAAAAAGTGCAGAGTAAGTAATGTGGCCATAGAAATACAGAGTTTCCATCCTCCAATTAGGTGTCCCTTTCCGTTCCTTTAGCATATTTTTAAGGTGACATTGGTGATTTCCACGTTTCACAGTTCAAGTGTACCACAGAGGGGGCTATATTCATTTAACCCTTCTTTCTTCACCCACGCTCCACTCACCGTTTCTAACAACCCTGCTTAAATCAGAATTATTATCCCTCTTATATGGTGTGCAAAGAAATTAATAGAGTAAGAAGAGATTAAATACGATTTTTTTTATAAAGTATCCTTAAATGAAAAATATATTAAATTAAGTAAGAAGAGATTAATAAAATCATATATCTTCATCTCGTTAGTTTAAATAAAAACTTTAAATGACAAAATTAAACTTTTCAAGTCTACTATCAAAATAATAATAATAATTTAGTAATTAATATGAATAATTTTCTGACCATTGAATGATAGTCAAAACCTGCAAAAACGACCAGGTTTAACAAATCAGCTTTTATTTATTTTAGAATGAACCAAAAGAAACAAATCCAACGAGGATATGATTTTTAACTTCCCCAATTGAATATTCATTTTTCTTTATGGCTTGAATATTCATTTGTTTGAAATTGATTAAACCTACCGACGATGGACAACGGTAGGAAAGCATATATTCCATGTCCTTTATGTTTTTTTTTTTTTTTTTGCTATTGTATATATTTTTTGTGCTGATAAAAATAATTGTATCCGTTTCTGATTTTCAATGACACTTCCATAAGCAAATAAATTGTTCTCTCAGGCAATTTAAAACATGTGGAAGGGATATTTTGGCCATTTACAATTCTGCAGAAAAGCTAAAAATAATAATGGACCCAACCAAACCAAGGCCCACAAAAAATAGTGTAATAACACATTGATTGAGTACCAGACGAATGTAAACACCCAATAAATAATAATAATAATATAGTGTGATTATTATTATATGTTTTTCAGTACTCTATCATTTTCGTCAACACAAAATATAACATAATGTAATATAATCATTGAAATTCAATAAATTATAAAAAAAATTGTACAATTTTCAGTTATTTTATCTAAATTTGTTAACAAAATTACTTGTTATTTTTGAGTTCTGAAACACATGTTAATATTTTCAATCAAATCACACAATTTTTTAATTTTTGACAATTTCACCTTTAAATTTTACTTTAACTTTTAATATATATATACATATATATATATATATATATATATATATATATATATATTACTGATGTTACAAATATCTCATTTTTAATTGGTGATATATTATATTTTATCCAAATTGTAATTTGATAAAATTTTATTTTTTCTGTCATCACACCAGAATTAAATACTTCTTATAATATAATATCTAAAATCACACAAAAAAATAGAGTAACTATTTTTTTAAATCACGTGATTGTTGATGATGAGAGTGAATTGCTTTTATTGATGACTATTCTTAATCAAGTTTGTTCTTCAAATTAATTTTTTAATTAATAACATTAAAACTTGAATATATTTTCAAAGGATCGTATCTTTTTTATTTATATTATACTTAAACCCATGAAATATTAGTTAAGTTAAGAGTATAATATAATATAAAGAGGAAGCAAACAAATAATAAATAAATGAAACTTATTCTAATGTTTTACCGAACCATCAAACCAACACCATTCTCTCTATAAGTTAGAAATAACTGTTGCTTAACGCCTCTCCCAGGAGCCTCCACACCAAAACCACACACACTTTGCGTTTCTCACCCTCTTCCCTTGGAACCAAACAGATTTTTTTCTTCTTTCTTTCTCTCTCTACCACCTCAATGGAGAGTCCCCATTCGCTCTCTCCATCTTCCTCCTCCTCTTATTCCTCCGACGGCCTCACTTTCGACACGGAGGAGCCACGGACGCCGCTCGCCGTGCGCCGCGCCCTGCACCTCCTCAACTCCGGCGAGCCTCACCTCTGCCTTCAAGCCGCTCGCGACATCCGTCGACTCACCAAGACGTCCCAACGTTGTCGGCGCCAGCTGTCCCAGGCTGTCGGTCCACTCGTTTCCATGCTCCGAGTCGACTCGCCCGAGTCACACGAATCCGCTCTCCTCGCCTTGCTTAACCTCGCCGTTAAAGACGAAAAGTACCTCACTACCCTTCCTTTCTTTCCTTTTTTTTTCCCTTTCTAATCACTCCAAAATTTAAAAAATGGAAAATTCAAACTAATTATATTTTTATAAAAATAATTGAAAACCCTAAATAGTTGAGTAATTAGATTTTTTCTCGCGTGTGGTTAATTTATTTGTAGTGGGTTTAATTTTTTTTCTTTAATTTATACTGACTTATGATTAATTTTATGTTAGTTGTTGTTTGACGCACTTTTTTTGATTCTGGGAATTCGTGCGCTTTATGAAACATACGCAATACCTTGAAGCCATCGAGTTGGGATTCGATATAAAATTGGAATTAAATAATGTCAATTTTGGATTTGATGCATTTCTATAATAATAATAATAATAATAGTATAGCATATGTGGCTTTATACACTGATTCTGATTCTGCTCTTTATTCTGTTTCCTCAGTTTCCTTTTCTTTTCCTTTTTCTTTATATTTTTTGCGCGGGATGGTTGAGTTTTCGTTGTTATAATCTACGTGGATGTTTGTTAGGAATGATGATGATGATGGGTCATTCGTGGTATACCTTACTCTTTTTTTCTTAGGGGGAGGGAGGGGTAGTTAGTTACCATCTTTGACAGAAAATAAGCAAACACTTAATCATGCCTTAGAATGCAAGAGTCATATATTTCTCTGTGGTTGATTGAACTCTTTACTATATTTTGTTTCTTGAAATTAGAAAATGAACCAACAAATTGGTTTTTCCCTTTTACTATTATTATTGTTATAGAATATTATTATTAATTAATAGTAATTATAATAATTTTGTGGTGAGAGCTGTGTTATCTCTTGAATTCTAGAATGTCGAGTACGTTGTTTTATGAATGATAATTGCTTTGATGGCTGAAATGCATGCATGCTAATGCTGTATCACAAGAAAGAATTTGATGCTTTTTGTTGTTGAAACTTATCCGATTGCGAGGTGGATTTCCTTTGTTTCACATGGTGCTCTTTCTTTTTACCCCTTTTTTTTTTCCCTTTTCCTTTTTCGCTCGTGTCTTATTCCGGAAGTAATCTTTATATCATTTAGTGCTCATTGCTTAGGGTCAAATTTCACTTTCTAGCATAAAGGAACAGTTTAATTTTTTATTTAGCTGTCGCTTCTAGTTGGTAATTAAATATTTGCTCAAAGAAACGCAGGTTAAAATATTAGATAATGGTTTGATTAATCCGACTATGGTAATCTAGATGAATAATAATGCGAAGTATATCATGTAAGGAAAATTAATAAATTACCAAACTGGTTAAAAAGGAAAGCTATTCAGCATGCATTAATAACTTTTAGGATATAGAAATGGGAGCAATATATTTTTTATCTTTTTTTTTTTCCCTTCGATGCTTTTTAACTTGGTGATTTAACAACTGTGTGCTTAATTTCTGTAGAGATGGTTTAGATCTCTGCATTGAACGTGATGTTGAACCACTGAATGACTTTTTGCCTACTCCTCTTCTCTTTATTTTTCTTAAGGTGGGGTTGAACTTGGGAAGGTAATAGAGTGACCAAAGGGTGCGTTAGAAAGTTTTTATTTACTCATTGTTGCTTGGACAGAGGGTCAAAAGTCACTTTCATGCTCTAGGAGTGACCAAAATTTTTGGGGTGGAGCGTAAATGAGTTGAACTCCTTTTTCAACTTTCCTCTATTTTTGCTATACCCAACAATGGTGAAGTGTTTTTCATTCCAAATTTCGTAGCTTCCCATCTTCCACTAATGTAAAACAAGCACACCTAAAATTTCCTTTTTTGGTTCATGCTTTAATTCATTATTATTATCAATCTAGATCCCTTTGAGAAGAGAAAACGGTACTTCTTTTGTGTTTATCTATATCCATTCTCTATACTGCTTCTTTCTCTTTCCTGGCATCTCTAGGTCGGTGTTTTGAGGCAGCATCATGAACAAGTATGTGCTTAGCAAGAAATAAAAATGACATAATATCTAACTACCACAAGAGGGTTAAACCAGGGGAATAAAATCTTATTCTACACTTGTTTATTACATCAGTAGTTTTATTGTTTCCAAATTGTTGCATGACATCATTAGTCTCCTGCATCTAAGACAAGATTGGGATTCCAGGTTGTGATTGAATATAATGCCATTAACTAAAGAATGAACTCCAATTACTTAAATATATCAGGATTTAAATTTCTTTTGTCTGGTAGATCTGACGTTACATTATATAGCCCTGATGATTTTATAGCAGTTAATCCTGTACTAAAAACATTGGGTTGTTTTCTGTACCCGTGCTACTTATTTTCTTCCGTTACCATTATACAAGTGTCAGATATTTCTAATTTAGTGCTGATTAACCTTTTGCTCGATAATCTTTTTAGTCGTAATTCAGTCGTATTCATTACTTGAATTGGTCTTGCAGGAATAAAATCAATATTGTGGAGGCTGGGGCATTAGAACCGATAATTAGTTTCCTCAAGTCTCAAAATCAAAATCTGCAGGAGTCTGCAACTGCATCTTTGCTCACACTATCTGCCTCTTCAACCAATAAACCAATTATAAGTGCTTGTGGCGCCATTCCTCTTCTTGTGGAGATCCTTGGAGATGGAAGCCCCCAAGCTAAAGCTGATGCAGTAATGGCTCTCTCTAATTTATCAACACACACTACTAATCTGAGCACCATTCTTGAGACAAACCCAATCCCTTTCATAGTTGATCTTCTTAAATCCTGTAAAAAATCCTCAAAAACAGCTGAAAAATGCTGCGCTTTGATAGAATCCTTGGTGGATTATGATGAGGGCAGAACTGCCTTGACATCTGAAGAAGGCGGGGTTCTGGCAGTTGTGGAAGTTCTTGAAAGTGGCACTCTCCAAAGTAGGGAGCATGCTGTTGGAGCACTGTTGACAATGTGCCAAAGCGATCGATGTAAATACAGGGAACCAATTCTAAGAGAAGGTGTGATTCCAGGACTTCTCGAGCTTACTGTTCAAGGGACACCTAAGTCTCAGTCAAAAGCACGCACCCTTTTGCAGTTACTGCGAGAGTCCCCTTATCCGAGATCTGAAATTCAACCTGACACTCTTGAGAATATAGTATGCAACATCATATCTCAGATTGATGGGGATGATCAATCTGGTAAAGCTAAGAAGATGCTGGCTGAGATGGTTCAAGTCAGCATGGAACAAAGTCTGAGACATTTACAACAAAGGGCTCTCGTGTGCACCCCAAGTGATCTTCCTATAGCTGGCTGTGCTTCTGAAGTTTCTTCAAAATGATAGTTGCCGCTGGCCAACTCTGCCTTTTTTTTTCACTTTTCTTCACCTTTCTTTTTGTCTCTGCACTTGGGTTCTGCGAGGTGAATTTCCAGAGTAGAAAACGAAAAAAAGAAGGAATAATACACAGTGAAGTATGATGCCAGTCCAGGCCATTGTGGAGGTATCGAGTGACTGGTAATTGTCAATAAATTATGTTGTCAATGGTAAAGAGCATGATTTTGTAGTTGGTTTGTAAAGAAACTGTTGTATAAAATGACATACAAGTAGTAAAAAGTTCCTTGTTCAAAATTCTTCTTGTTCTCCATTTCTGCAGTGACTTAGTGTGTGTTTGTTTACCCATCACAATGGCGCAAACAGACTTCGATCCACCACTAACAAATCTCTGCTTAGGAAAAGCAAACCCGCCCTCATAGACCAGTATTTTTACTGTTTAAATCTATTTCAATTCGCTGGAATTGTAACATTAGAATTGATTTTAAATCATTATAAGTATAATTATAATAGTTATTTGAAAGGAAATATTGTCCATTAAATCAATTAAAATCTTATATACTATAGACACAAAATTCACAGATTTAAATATGAAAACCTTGAATTAAAAGTATTAATTCCGAACACATTCATACTATGTAGTTAGTAAATCTACCAGGGTCTAACATGTGTTGAAATATTAGAGCCTAAGTGGGTTCTAATTTGCAAGTTAAAATTAGAACAACCAGCGCAATTTTTTGAACAAGTAATTATGGATTTTTCTTCCAAAGGTAAGTTTGGAAAAAATGAAAATAAAATGTTGCATAAAAGGACGAAAATTAAACCGACCAAGTGATGAAATGTCCCCCAGTATGGTTTGGCTACTTTCTTCGCATATCCTTCAACTGCGAGTGCGACACGATTGCAAAACTATAGTCAAAATTTTAATAATCAAATCGTAAAGTTCATACCCTTTTCATCTCACAAAAAGACTGTTAGTAAGATGGAGAAAGGCCACTCCGGTTATCTATTCAAAGCAATCATTAGCCATGTTATATCATATAAATACATGCATTGTTTTTTTTTTGTTCTGGGAAACAGAAATTTAATTTAAACTTTTATTTTTATCTTTAATTTATTTCAAACTCTAGTAATGAAACGCTAACCTATTTGATAGTGATTGAAGATGTTCTTCGGATTCATGATTGCTTATATTTGGTAAATATTATCCAAGAGACTTATGGCAGATGACACATATTTTTTACTTTATTACTAAATAAATATTTTTATTTATTTATAGAATTTGGTATAATTTTGTCTTATCCCGTCCGGTACCTATGTGTATGATTTTGTTATGTAAGGATGATTCTTCGTCTTGTTATTTATGATATTTGTTTTTATGTAAATATAAGAATATTAATGAATATGATATTTTTTCTTTGTTAAAACCTATGAATTCTATGATGGTATCAAAGTTTCGTAGGGAGCTTTGGTGGTTAAAATATTGAAATTTTTTTTTTATATCACGATGATTCATCGAACTTCTCCGAGAGTGATTATTTCACCAATTCTTTCAACTCGTTTATTTTTATGCCAATGAGTCACCTTCATAAGCGTTAGTCTCGCCATCTCTAAATGAACGAAACTATCATGCTTGGGCAAGAGCTATGAAATTCGCTCTTCTATGCAAAAACAAGTTGAAGCTTATAGATGGTAGCATTCAACCCCCGTCACTAACAAATATGTCCGATGGAACATGGGAGCGATGGAACATGGTTCTCAGTTGGATTCATAGATCCATTGATGATTCCATTCTACAATCCATTTTCTGGATTGATCGAACTTCGGAGGTTTGACAGGATCTCCATGATCGTTTTTCTCAAGCCGATGTGTTTAAGGTTTCTGAACTTCAAGAAGAAAATTTTCGATTGTAGCAAGACACCCTCATTGTTAGCCAATATTTCACTCAACTGAAAACTCTATGGGATAAGTTTGACAATTACAAACCAGTTCCCATATGCAAGTGTTTAATACCCTGCACATGCGAAACAACCCAAACTTATAAGAAATACAGAGACCAAGACTATGTCATTCATTTCCTTAAATGGTTAAACGATCAATTTTCACATGTTAGGTTCCAAATCATGCTTCTGGACCCTCTTCCTCCAATAAACAAATCATTCTCTATGGTTGCTCAACAAGAAAGGCAGATGTCTAATACAAGCATGATTGAACCTCCATCTGATACCAAAATCTTTGCTGTCAACACTGATCAACACATTAGCTCTAGAAGGGGTCTTCTTGTTAACCCAAACCAATACACTGAAAATGACAGAGGTCGTGGAAATAGAGGTAGAGGCCGTAAAAATACTGGAAGAGGCCAAGTCTTCTCCAACAAACTTTGTACTCATTGCGGTCGGACCAATCACACAGTTGATACATGTTATTTTAAACAAGGTTTTCTCCTGGTTATAAGCTGAGACAAACTAATGTTAATGTTGTCACTACCAATGACAACTATGCCATAGAAAATGGACCTCAAACCTAGTCAAGAATTACTACCTCAGGTTCTGGTTTTACACAAGAGCAGTATTAAGGGCTTCTCAGCTTGCTTCAATAGTCCAACTTAGAAAGTTGCAACTTTTCCCATCATTCCAATCTTGTCCACGCCATAACTTTGCACACTCATTCTCCTTCTTCGGCAGGTATACAATGTGACCAATGACTCATTGATACATGAGCCTTTGATTGCATAACTTTTAACCTTGCAAACTTTCTCACTTTTTTTGAAATTTCACCTATTCTCATTACCTTACCTGATAGATCTAAAACTCATGCAAAGATTTTTGGTATTGTGCACCTTTTACCTTTTCTAACCTTAAAAAATGTCTTGTACATTCTGTTGAAAGTCTCACATCGTCTGCCTTATGTAATTTGGTATGGTTTAAATACATGTTAGGCTACTCTACATATTGCGAATTGATTTTATGTTGGAACCTTAACATTATCAAAGTCAAAACCTAACATCTTTTCGGTTATTGTCTTGGGCCAAGAGTTGTCCTTTTGTTGTGGGTCAAAAGTACTTTTTGCCTGGTCCGACAAACTTCGTTGGAGGGGGCGTGTTGAAAGTTCCACATTATCTGTCTCATGTCATTTTGTATGGTTTAAATACATGTTAGGCTACTCCACACCAGAAACCATCACCTTTATTCTCCATATTTGTTGATCCTCCTTTCTTCTGTTTGGCTACCATGGCCAAAGTCTGATCTCCTTTATGGTCAACCACCATTGTTGAGTTCTCTATTATACCATCTGAAAAATTAAATTAAATGAAATCTGATTTCATTATTTTTAATATAAAGGAATCATAGAAGATATATATAGGAAACCTAAACTATTTTAAGAAATATAATAACTCTATTTTATTCTAGGATCCCTTGATTTATGAAATTGTTCCTAATTGTTCAAATCTGTACAGATTACAAGGAAATATACAAATTTTCTAATTTATGCTTTCCTAAAATACTATTTGATTTCCCACACTTTCACTACTTTATTAATCTATGTTGATGACATAGTTCTTGCAGGCAATGATCCTAATGAAATCGAATATGTCAAGACTCATTTGGACAATGAGTTCATCATTAAAATCCTAGGATAACTTTGTTATTTTTTGGGGCTTGAAATATCACGTTCTTCATCTGATATTGTGGTCAATCAGAGGAAATATGCACTAGAAATACTGAAAGAAAATGACATGCTTGCTGCAAAACCAATAACCACTCCTATGGAGCTTTCTACTAAACTAAATAGCTTCTCTGGAACTCCTTTATCTAACCCTCAGATTTATCGTAGGTTGATTGGTCAGCTGATGTATCTTACAACCACTAGACCAGACCTAGCTTTTGTCACTCAACAACTAAGCCAATATGTTTCTCAAAGGATCTTTTGCTAAAGGTCTTCATTTTGCTGCCAACTTATCTCTCGTTCCTTCAAGTTTTGCTGATTCTAATTGAGGTTGCTGTATGGAAACTCGGAAATCTATCATCGGATATTGTGTCTTTCTGTGCTCTTCATTAATTTCTTGGAAAACCAAAAAGCAAACCACAGTATCCCGGTCTTCCTCTGAAGCTGAATATAGAGCTCTTGCGGCTCTGAGTTGTGAGTTATAGTGACTTCATTATTTACTTACTGATTTAAAAGCTTCTAGTACTGCTCTTATTTCAGTTTTTTGTGACAACCAATCCGCTATATACCTGGCTCATAATCCTACCTTTCATAAACGAACAAAGCACATAGAAATTGATTGTTACGTCACGCGTGGGAAAATTTAAAGTGGTCTTATTTATCTGTTGTCAATTCTTTCTTCTATACAACTAACTTATATGTTTACTAAGACCCTTCAGCTTTCACACACTATGTCTCAAAACTAGGATTGTTAGATGTTCACTGTCCCGGTGATATTACTAAATAAATATTTTTTATTGTTAGAATTTGGTACAATTTTATCTTATCCAATGACTATTGTTGGTTACGTTTTTATTATATACGGATGATTCATTTATCTTGTTATATATGAACTTTTCTTTTATATAAATAACAGAGATATTTTTTCACTGTCAAACCCTGTGAAACCTACGAATTATATGATCTAGATAAAGTAATTATGTAAGGGATGCATAAGTGGAGCATGACCTCTCTACAGAGGGGGTATTTTCTTTTATAGTGTCCCTTCTTTCATTTTGTTGTCTTTACTAGTTCAACAAGTTTTCATGTTTCTTATTTTGTTTACCTGGGAATCTATTACTAATTTAAGTTGCACTAATTAAAAATTTGTTTTTAAATTACAAGTTTAATAATGATATTAAATATGATATAGCTATTATTTAAACTATTTGATTTTATAAATATTTTTACAGTAACATTTAGATTCATAATTATTTAACTTAACTATTTTCATTTAAATTTTTTTCTTTCTTCTCTGTCTAACCATGCATTAATGAGTTCCCATACATATCCTACAAGCTCTCTAATGAGATATGTGGTATAAACAAGAGTAGAAGAAATTTGGTAATTGAGTGAAGGGAAATAGAAAAATAATAATTTGGTAATTGAGTGAAGGGAAATAGAAAAATAATAATAAAAAATTACTAAGAGAGTTGTAAGGATTAATCTAAAAAAAACGAAAAAAACTTTTTTAATAACATTAATTTAAATATATTATAGATGAATGAAGATAACATATATTATAATAAAAAATTATCAAAAAACTTATTATTATTTTTAATAAATTTATGATGAAAATGGACAATATAATATAATTATAAATAAAAAATAAATATTATTAAAAGAAACATAAAACTAAAAAATAAAAAAATTGTTATTAATTTAATTATTTTTTTTAATAAAATAATTAGTAAACAAGTTTTTAATTTTTTAACTAAACTAGTTTTAAAATGGTAATTGAACATTCGATAATTGATTTGATTTGTGAGTATGATTGATTCATAATTGAGGATTGGATACTTGATTGGCCATGTTCTGAGCTGGCCTTCTTCCTAAAACACGTACGCATTGAATTCCGTGGCGACGCGCAGACCTCACCTCAGTCAGTAGTCATTGGCGTGGGCTATTAGACACTTAGGTAATTGCGAGTGCCAACCCTAACTAAACACACACACACACACCCCCCCCAAAGCGCAGCACACTCAGCTCAGAGTGAAGAAACATCATAGTATCAGTGGAAGAAGAGCGAGCATTAATTATTGATAGTAGAAATGGGAGATCCAGCGGAGAGGTTGGAATCGGAGGGTTTGGATTCCGGCGCCGTCGTCAAGACCGATGACTTGTGCATGGAAATCGATCCGCCATTTCAGGAAAACGTCGCCACCGCCGAGGACTGGAGGAAAGCGCTCAACAGAGTCGTCCCCGCCGTCGTCGTCCTCCGCACCACCGCCACTCGCTCCTTCGACACTGAGTCCGCCGCCGCTAGCTACGCTACCGGCTTCATCGTCGACAAGTGCCGCGGCATCATTCTCACCAATCGCCACGTCGTCAAACCAGGTAGTTAGTTAACCTCGCTGCTCTGGCTTTTTGTTTCTCTTTTCTTGAATTTTGTTCGCGTTGACCATCTCTCTGTTTCGAATGCGTAGGTCCTGTGGTTGCTGAAGCCATGTTTCTGAATCGCGAAGAGGTTCCAGTGCATCCGATTTACAGAGATCCGGTTAGTGAATTCTGTTTCCGTTTTAATGTCTCAATGTGATGTCGTTCACAGTTTATAAATTGGTGATCTAGCTGAGTCTTGTCTTTCATTCTGTTATTATTTTGATAGTTTATACACTCATTCTGCTTTCTATAAGCTTCTTTGTTCACTAAGAACTATGAAGACATGGAAATTGAGTGTTACTGATATGCACGTTCGAAAACATGTTGATATGTTTATAATGCAAACACTCGTTCATATGTTTATATTGCAAAAACTTGTTCATATGTTTATATTATTATTACCTGCTTGAGGAGGATCAAGATATTATTACTGTTGAAAGGAAGAATGTTTTATCATCTCAAGACACCTTTACTGTTATTGTTTGACTCAGCTCTTTTCGTATTTAAATTTTGAAACAGCGAACTGATTCCCCTTTCTGTCGTGTTTTATTATCAGAATTTGTTTTCTCTTGTGAATTTGTGTTACAGAGTTCGCATTTTAAACTATACTACTTTGTTCATTTGTTTAATATGGTCCTCGGATTTTTTGTATGTGTGTGTCTGTATTTTCTTAAATAATAAATTCTTGCCAAGAATAATTCTATGATCTCTTTCTCTGTATGCCTGGTGATGCAACCAACTAAGTAAACATACATCTGTAGGTACATGATTTTGGGTTCTTTCGTTATGATCCTGGTGCTATACAATTTCTGAACTATGAAGAGATACCTCTTGCTCCTGAAGGTGCCTGTGTTGGACTAGAAATTAGAGTTGTTGGTAATGATAGTGGCGAGAAGGTATTACCCGAGATTTACCTCAAATGCACTTATTCTCTCCATCTCTCCCTTCCCTGTACTTTGGCTTGCATTATTTTTTTTTTAATTGTCTCTTTGTAAGACAAAGTTACATGATTTCCATGCTTATAATAGTACACGTCAAATGGCTAGCAATTGATGCTTTTCTTGGCAGATTGAGCACCTTAATAAAACATTGTTGCACAGAGCGTGATGAAAATGTATGCTGAGCTTTTTTTTTTTTTTTTGGTTTCTAATCATGATCAGACAGTTTTCAACATATGTCCGATCCAGCTACATCCATTTGTTGTCTTCTGTAAGCCTTTGTTTTCTAAAATCAAGTTATGTATCAACATTTATTCTCCTAAAATACTGGCCCAAATTGGTAGTCTTTCATGTTTAAGCCTGTTCATAATTGCTGCATATTTTGTATTGATGTAAAAGAATAGTATGCTCTAATATTATCTTCTATCCTTTTCTTCCAATAAATTTTGTATAATTATTTTGGCTTTTGCTTTCAGGTTTCCATTTTGGCTGGTACTCTTGCTCGTTTGGATAGGGATGCTCCTCATTATAAGAAGTATGTTGTAGAATATCTGTAACTTTTTTTTGTGCCCTTTCAGTGAACAGGTTGAATTTAGATAATGGAACTATTGTTTGATGATGCAGGGATGGGTACAATGACTTCAACACATTCTATATGCAAGTAAGTGGGAACAAATATTATTTAATCCATGTATATTAAAATTCCAAATTTTGAGTTTGTTTATATTATTTCCTTTTTCCTTCAAATTTTTAATATCTTTTAATTTCGTTGAAATTTTGGTATCTTTCAAGTTGCTTCCCGGGTTTCATTTCAAGTGTTTAGGTGTCTTATAATTTATCTAAGGCCATACTAAATTTTTTTCCTCAGGGTTTTTGATTACTCTGAAATGTGGAATATTGTAGAACTGAAAGCAGGATTTATTGCTAAAAATGGTAGGAAAAGAAAATTAACATCAAAGGGTTAATCATTTGGTGCCTGCGTTGGGCAACTTATTTCATAGACAGTGATTTTTGTCTGGAGTGGTTTTGAAGTCCTTTTTAGAAGGAATTTACAATTACTGTATATGATATGCTTGTCTGGTCTTTTTGCCCAATCCTTGATTGCAACTTTATATCTAGTGATTTTTGCATTTCAGGCAGCATCTGGGACCAAAGGAGGATCAAGTGGTTCCCCAGTTATAGATTGGCAAGGCAGGGCTGTGGCCCTGAATGCTGGGAGCAAGTCATCCAGTGCATCAGCATTCTTTCTACCTCTAGAACGAGTGAGCTTTTGAATTATATATGTGTGTGTGTGTGTGTGTGTTTGTTGAGCTTGTTTGATGCTTCCTGTAGTAATCAAGGAGTTCAGCTCCTCTTGTCGGGACAAACTAATTCAATTGCTTTCAGGTGGTGAGGGCCTTAAGGTTTCTTCAAAAGGGAAGTGAAACTTATGTTGATAAATGGAAGGCAGTTTCTATACCTCGTGGTACACTTCAGGTCTGTCAATTATTCTTTTCAGATTCTTCCTTTTTTGTTTTTCTCATGATATAATATTAAACTATTTCATGGTACTGATGATTGAAATTGTGTGCTGCATTGCATTGAATAATATTGACTATATTAAATTTCTTTAAAATGAGTTTTCACTGTAAAATGAAATATTTTTCTGTGACAAATGGCAACAAGCCCTAGTGGTGTCTGCGGCATTGCTTTGTTAGTTATCTTAACAATAAAATTGCCATGTGAAGATATGAAGTTGCTTTCTTCTGGAACTTGAAAGCATTCAGTATAGCTGTAGGTTTTATCTGGACCCTTTTCAAGGACATTCAAGTGTTATATGACATTTTATCCTCAGTAAAATCATTCATAGCCCTCTGTTTTTCTTTCTTGTTCCTCCATCATTGAATGATTTTGTCTCCTATTTCTCCATTGTTTTTTTACCCTGGGTTTGATGGATAGAGTTTTGATTCATTTTTTTCTCCTTTCTGATTACGATGTCTCATTTTTAGAGGCTTACTCTTTATCTGGAAATTTTTAAATAGTAAATATTTTTTGTTGTTGTCTCCAAACTGATTTATGAGTAAAACTATTGATGCAAGTGTTATTTTAGTTCCTTGAATCTTTAATCTGTTTGTCTGGTAATATTTTTGTTTCTTATATGTTGATGAGATCAGAAGCAGTTGTAGGGATTTTTTTTATTGGTTCTGAAAAGGAATGTTTTCTTTGCATATGACACAATCCTATTTTATTTCTTCTTTGGATAAAATTTGGTGTAGGTGACATTTCTCCATAAAGGGTTTGATGAGACTCGTCGCCTTGGGCTCAAAAGTGAGACAGAGCAGGTTGTTTATTCTGTCAATTTTTTTTTTCAGGTTATCTCTGTTGAGCAGTATCTTCCTTCAATTATGCCCTGAATTGTTGACACTGCTTTATATTATGCAGATAGTACGCCAGGCTTCTCCATCTGGTGAAACTGGAATGCTTGTTGTGGATTCTGTGGTAAGCAGATTGTTAAGTAGAATGCTAATATTTTGAGTTGATGTTCCATTTCAATTTTTATGGCTTTACTTCTTGACTTGTTTAGGTGCCAGGTGGTCCAGGTTATAAACATTTGGAACCAGGTGATGTACTTGTTCGTGTCAATGGAGAAGTAAGTTGGTCTGAAGACAAAGTTTTTGCTTCTCTGCCCCACCCTCCATATTTTATTTCTGGTCTTTACTTGTTTATCTGTTGTTTTATGCTTTATGTAAATTTAGTTTGTTAATTGTCCTTGGTGAAACACTATGTGTTTTATATTGAAGAATAATAACTGGTCATACAAAGATCATATTGTGTACTTCTGACATTGAAGGAAAATTTTGAGGAGAAACTATTCTGGATAAAAGTTAGGTGTCCCTGTGTACATCCAAACCATTGCTTGTGATAATTATGTGTATCTTAGGTATAAAGACAGGGAGACTGCTGCTTAGAAAAGTAACAAATATGAATAGCTTAGTGTTATTTTTTTTACATCTCCATGTCTTTTGTTACCCATAGGTTCAAAGGATCATTTAAAGTATGGATTTCTAAATCGTATTAACTTAATTTATTTATTCAAAATTTTCCCCTTGTCTTCTAACTTATTATTGGTTTCAAGAAGTACTTTCTTGCACTCAAAGGCTGCAAAAACAGGGTCTTTCATTGTCTGTGTACTGTTTGTGGTAGGTGCTAGACATAGAAATAGCTTTTCTAATTTTTTTTGTAGCACTTGACTCTGGAAAAATCATTGCAGGTCATTACTCAATTCCTGAAGCTGGAGACTCTACTTGATGACAGTGTAAGCAAGAATATTGAATTACAAATTGAAAGGGGTGGCACATCAAAGAGTTTAACTTTGTTGGTGAGATTTTTCATTCTTGGATATTTACTTTACTAGTAGTTTAGTACTTTTTGACATACCCAAATGCTTATATTTTCTATGGGAAGGGCATCATGGTGATCTACTTGCAACCTCCACTAAGAGAGGGGCTGAAGAAATCCTAAGTGTATATAATGGTAAATAAATCAAAAGCAACATCAAACTTTTACTTTGAATGTCCTTCTATTTCATCAAAAACTTAGGCTGTGAAGATCTGAGAATACAGATAGTAATAGACTAAAATTAAACGTGTTTAACAATTTTGTTTGCAAGCAATACTGTGGCTAGATTATAAATTTCTCAAAATTCTTTAATCCTTTGTGAGCAAATGCATGATAATTTTAATTTCTGGGTTCAACCTGATGTGTGGCCATCCCACCTATCACAAGAGGTTTATGAAATACGGACTCAAATGACTTAAGCTAGCATCTTGCATCATGCCACCTATGAAATAGGGAAACATAAAAGTAGGTTCTTAGTTGCTAACATGAACCTGGCTCAAAATTTTTCATGGCATCTTGAATAATGATTATTGAAATTACAGTTATTGCTTACTGTTGTGCTAACCTTTTTCTTTATAAATTTTTATATCAGGTGCAAGATTTGCACTCAATAACACCTGATTATTTTTTAGAAGTGAGTGGGGCAGTAATACACCCTCTTTCCTATCAGCAGGTTAGTTGGAATGTAATCAGAAATTGGAATGTTCACTGTATTTTATAAGTAACTTAGTTGAATTTGATTTGACATACCGTTTGAGAGGCTGGACGTGGTGGCTGTTTGATTGAAGAAATATGTCTGGAATTTTTATCATGTTTCTTATATTTAAGATATTATAAGAGTAGACATTGGTCTTTTGCCTTAATTGTATTGATCCACGTGGCTCTGTATTGTCTTTATATTAAGTTATAATTTCCTCTACATGGTCAATTTTCCTACCTATGAACATGGTTATCAAAACACATTGTGCCATAAAACTCCCAATAGGTTGCTCTTCCAATTTAAGCTACCTGTCTCATTTTGGTTATGTTTATCTTTTTTTAATGCAGGCTAGAAACTTCCGTTTCCATTGCAGTCTTGTTTATGTGGCTGAACCAGGGTAAGTATAACTGGATAAGCATTGACTTCTCCAAGCTTGATAACTATGTACAGTCTACTGCCCATAAAAATTATTAGAGCGTTGTTTTCATACACAATAGATCCTAGATGGAGAGGATTCCAATTATGTTTATTTAACATTTTGGTATATAACATGTGCTTTATTGAATATGGGATGTTATGTGTTTTTGCAGATATATGCTCTTCAGAGCAGGTGTTCCTCGCCATGCAATAATCAAGAAATTTGCTGGTGAAGAAATATCTTGTCTTGAGGAACTAATAACATTTCTTTCTAAGCTATCTAGGGGTGCACGAGTACCTTTGGAATATATAAGCTACATGGATCGTCATCGAAGGAAGGTAATGGTTACTTCACAATCAACATATGATTTCAAATTAGTGTAAATTTGCAATTATTGTTGATTATATCTTGCACATTCAAAGAGTTGTTTGACCTTTTAAACCTTTATCTATATATTTGCAATAAAACAGCTTTTTGGGTTGTATGTATTTCTGTTTATGATAAGCAACTAACTATACAGTTCAGGTAAGGTAAAATCTTACAACTCTCTAACAGCTTTGATACCATGATGAATTTCTTGAGAAGTTTATTGGATAGAAAATTAGCTTAATTTTGTAAACATTATTCTAATTCTACGGTGTAGTCTAATGGCACATTAATATAGCAGATTATCAGCACTACATCAATGTTCAATATTATATGCTTCTGTGGGTAATTGAGCTTGACATGTAGCGCAGATTTTAGAAGTGGATTTGACATGATAATATTTTCATGTTAAAAGTTGTGGTATTTTATACTTGTATCTGTTGTTTGTAAATATGGCTTTGAAGTATTTTTTGCGTGGAAAATTTTAAAGGTACATCTTTTGGTGATTTTGTTTAACTAACATGGCTGTTGGGGCTGCAGCATGTGTTGGTCACAGTTGATCGGCATGAATGGTATGCACCACCCCAGATATACACTCGTGATAACAGTACTGGCCTTTGGATTGCTAAGCCAGCTTTTCAGCTTGACTCCCCCTTTCTATCATCTGGTGCTAAAGATGTTGAAAATCTGTCAAGACAGCCAATTTCACTAACTGTTGAGCATGCTTGTGCGGGTCATGTGTGTGAAGATAACAATCAGGAGTTTGTTGACGGTGTCACTAACATGGAAACCAATTGTGAAGATCCCTCAGAGTGTGCATCTCATCACAATGCATCTGATGGCATGATAAAAAAACGAAGAGTGGAGGAAGATTTATCAGCTGATGGAAGTGTTGTTACTGATTTTTCCCTAAACGATACCAGGGAAACTAAGCTAGATAAATCAAGTGTCATAGAGGATGACATGTTAATGGATTTTCAAGGTGCAACTGCCGCTGCAGCAAATGCATCAGTTGCTGAACGTGTGATTGAGCCTACTCTTGTGATGTTTGAGGTACTGTTGTAGAAAGTTTATCACAATTTTGATTAGTGACTTAACTAGAATGTATAGTGTGCATGAATCATACTAAAATAATATGATATGGTGTATTCTGCATAAGTTTCATGGTGGCGTCACTAAAACTTTTACAAAGGTAGTTTTGTTTTTGGAGATTTAAGATGAATTTTATTCATTTTATAAAATTCATACAAATGTATGTTCCTCTTAGAAAGTATTGAAATATATCGATTTGTTTTGCATGAAGATGAATTTCAGTTCATTTTTTCTTCATTTGGCATGATTAGAAGTTATTTATAACTGATTAGATAGAAAGTTATTCAAATTGTTTCTATCATGATTTGTTGCATCGTCATGTGTGTTTTTGATATAAATAAACAGGAAAATTCTCATTATTTGAACTTTTGAAGCAAACTCAAGATGTCACCATTGAAGTTAAAAAAATATTGGGGTGGGGGGTGGATGGATGACTGAGGCATTTTTTATTTTGTAATGATAGAGTAATCCTAATTATGTTAAAATTGTTTATACAACTATTTAGTAATATATATATATACAGCTATTTCATAGTTATTTTGATATATCCTAGAGTGTTTTAGAACTAATGCATATCGTATTTCTTTCTACCTTACTGATCTACATGTGTCTTTCAAATCCGACCTGGTCTTCATAGCAATTTGTCCTGATATTTTGTATTATTTTCAACTCATCAGTTTTAAAGATAATCTAGTAGTCTTTTAAAACATTCAAAATCTGTTACACATGCTATATTCATGCAAATTGTTGGCAGATAAGTTATTTGCATTCTGGTAAGTATGAGTATTTTATAGGAAATGTTACCAGGAAGCAACTGTAAAGGCTACAGCAGAATATATATTGAATAAAATTATTGAAATTTATATAGTTATACGTTAAAAAAATTAACATAAATTAGAATACATGATAAAAAATTTTAAAAAATTAAGAGACTGAGATTTACACTTGAAGTTTAACAAAATCACTTCCTGTTCTGGACACTTCACAAATCTCCCTCGATTTATACTGAGTAATCTTCCTGTTAACATTGACCTCATAAATGAAGAAAGATCAAAGTAATAACCTCATAAATGAAGGAAGATCAAAGTAATAACCTCAAAAAAGGGAGAGGTTATCAATGATCAAATGCAGTTTTATTAAAAATGTCTTTTTTCTATGATCCAAAACTTAGATGTTAGAGAAGATAAAGTATGAAGAATGTCAAATTCTTTTTAAGTGGAATTTGAAATTCTTTAATTTTAAGTAATCAAATTACTCATAAATTTATAGGATTTTAAAGACAGATGTGAGAGAAGAAAAAGTATGAAGAAATTTAAATTCTTGTTTTATAGGTGAAATTTAAAATTCTTTAATTTTAAGTAATCAAACTCTTATAAATTTCTAGAATTTCAATTTATTTTTAGATTCCCTACCCAAACAACATATTTTGCCATATAACGTTTCAAATTTTCTATAAATACTAATTATACACTAAAAAATTCCCATCTTAACACACTATAAATGTTTTAAAGGATTTTAAAAATGGTTTATTTTCTATGATCCAAAACAAATTTTTAGCAATCTGACTTGATCTTTTAGCATTCCAAAACTCCTTTCTGAAGCGTTTATAATGCTTTGAAATCAAAATTTCCCATTTTGATTTTTGGCCATTCTCAATCAAATCACGAAAGAAAAGTTATACCCATGCATTCATGCGAGGTGGATGGTATACAAAAATGTAACCAACATAGATAAAATATGGGTAAGATTGAAAAAATTGTTGTATTGGTGTTGTTTGGATTGCCAGCAATACACACAACTTCTGGAAGTAAGACAATGTAATAGATTTATATACTACTTTGGACTTTCTTGAGAAAATATTTGGCAACTTGTGATTCTCTTTTCAATATATATCTTATTTCCCCCCGTAAGTATGGTTTTAGGACAGTCCTAACAATGAGTGATGTTGGAGACTCTGACTACAGTTTTGTGATAGCCCAAGTTCCTTGATGTTTTCCTTTTCTAATCTTTTAACTAAATACTACGTTTTGTTTTGTGTCTTGTGATATATCCTTGGGCCCAGGATTTCCATGCAAATTCAATACAAAAAAATGATGTATTTATAATTGTGGTTCAATGTAGTCCATTTTGTTTCTGTTGTTAGTCTAATTGTGAACAGGATACTACCCTTTTTGCTTTGTCAGTCTAATTTTCTTAGTCATTGCGGTGATATGTGGTCCAAATTGCCTATCAGCCTTTTATTTGATTGATGGGAATGCAGCAATTTGGCTTCTGGTCTCCTTTGATCTTTATTTTTTAAAATAAACTTTTTTTTCTCAGTACTGGCATGTTTGAGACGTTTCATTAACCTGGGGCATTTCTATTTTTGTAACAAAAATTCTGTATTACATAACCTCCTTTATTTGTCATGACAACAATGCGTGATGTTGTAGCATGGTACTAATGCTGACTCTGGTTTTCGTATGGTTTTTAAATTATTCCGATGGGACGTGCAGGTTTTTGTTCCCCCATCTTGTATGCTTGATGGTGTTCATTCACAGCACTTTTTTGGAACTGGTGTCATAATATATCACTCCCAAGATATGGGATTAGTTGTAGTTGACAAGAATACAGTTGCAATATCTGCCTCTGATGTAATGCTATCCTTCGCTGCCTTCCCAGTTGAAATTCCAGGAGAGGTAAAGATGGGACAACTAATAAAATAAATTAATAAAGAAGAAGGTTGTCTTTCTTTAGCTTATCGTCACACTTTATTTATGTGCAGGTTGTGTTTCTCCATCCTGTTCACAATTATGCTCTCATATCATATGATCCTTCAGCATTGGGACCTGTTGGTGGTTCAGTTGTTCGTGCTGCAGAGTTACTTCCAGGTGGGGTTCACCATGTAATTGCTAAATTTATACTGTTTTAATGTAACTTCATCTGTATCAGATCCAGATTTGAAAATGAAAAATTGTTTCATTTTCATTGGCCTGTAAAAACAAGACTACTTACTATCCATACTTTGGTTGAATGGTTTGGGAATAACAAAATAATCTTTTTATGATTTGTTATTCTGAATTCAATTTCTGCTGTGACCCTTTTCTGTCTAGGAATACTTATCTGTGGGGATAGCCTGATATTTGTGGTTGTGATGAACTTTGTATGAACTTATGACTATGTATATTTGTAGTTTATACTTGATATAGTTTCACATTTTCTAGTTGGAAGTTAATTTTTTCTGGTAAAATGGTTTAAATTAGGCTGGATAAGGGAATATTTTGAAGGTAAATAATGTTTTGTATGAAGAAGTAAACATTTTAGATGTAGATGACGTGAGGCAGAGATTTGATGGCATATTTATTTTCACTTTTATTTATTTATCTATATTGTTGAAAGATTTTTGTTTTGTATATTTTCTTCTCCAGAGCCAGCATTACGGCGGGGAGATTCTGTTTACCTTGTGGGGTTGAGTAGAAGCCTTCAAGCAACTTCTAGGAAATCAGTTGTTACCAATCCTTATGCTGCATTAACTATAGGATCTGCTGATTCCCCTCGCTACAGAGCAACCAATATGGAAGTAATTGAGCTCGATACAGGTAAATTTGGATAAGATTTTCTGTAACCATGTTACTTGTACAGATAAGATTTCTTACTCTGCATGTGTTTAAATACAGATTTTGGCAGTACATTTTCGGGTGTGCTAACAGATGAACTAGGAAGGGTCCAAGCTATATGGGGAAGCTTCTCAACTCAGGTTTATACAGTTTATTCTCTGCTTGCTGGGATGGATCTGAGCATTTTTCATTAGGGTCAAGACTGGAAAAATGCTATAAGCAAATTGAACAACAAAACTAATTCTTAGTAAATCAATAAAACCTTTCTTGAGACTTTTTTTAGCAACTTATGTTTTCAGGGGAGATCATCCTTCGGCATGGCATGGCATGAGTGCCTTTTTTACTGAAACATCAGGAGTTCTAACTTTCTGCTGATTTTTTCGTATTTGGATTAGTTTCATTTCCAGCACCAGATAAACATTTTCCTTTTGCATAAGGAGGGAGTGTTAGAAATTTTAGTTAGAACCCCTCTTGAGTCTTTTAACAAAATTAAACTTTTAGCAAGGTTGGTTGCTTAAGTGGTGCTTATGAATGGCTTACTAATGAAGAACCACTAGCAAGAAACTAAAAGTGCCGTCCAATGCGACCTCGATATTAATTCTAAATAGAAAAATAATTAGACTTTGTCTATATGATCCTATCACAAGAAAAAAATACCTGATGAGAGAGACTTGGAACAGTGTACATATTCTCTGGTTTTTGGTCTATTCATTTGTTTAATAACGAAGCCTGACTTCAAAAATTGTGTCCTCGTAGAAGAAGGGCAAGAGAAGAAAGAAGAAAACTGGAAAGAGACGAGAGAAGACAAATTTTACTCAAACTTCAAAAGGAAACCTGAGGGTGGGTTGGTCCTTGAAGTCTATATAATGCCATTTTTCCTTTTCATTTAGAATTCTAATATCAATTAAGAGAAAGGCCTAGGGTGGGCAGTTTGGTTCTTGAATTCTATTTGGCATTATTCCCCATCGTTCATAATTAAAAAAACAAATATAGGATAAACATTGCCAAAAATTTATAGATATTTTGCTGAAATTTAGGATTCATTCTTCCTTTTACTGTTAAAAGTTTCAAGTCTTTTAAAAGCTTGTGAGCTTGGCTTGGCTTGTGTGAGTCGTGACCCAGAGTGAGTGAGCCAAGATATATAATCTTTTATTTTATTTCTATTTTTTGTGGAAGGGAGGGGGTGTATTATTGATGAGCCCTGACTGTGAATTGTGACATGCTTTTTCTGTGGATGTGGAAATTTTCTGTTCCAGCTGAAATTTGGTTGCAGTACCTCGGAAGATCATCAATTTGTGAGAGGTATTCCAATTTATGCAATAAGTCAGGTTCTTGACAAGATTGTATCTGGTGCAAATGGGCCTCCTCTTCTCATAAATGGTGTCAAAAGGCCTATGCCACTTTTAAGAATTTTAGAGGTTGAACTTTATCCAACATTGCTATCGAAGGCTCGTAGTTTTGGATTGAGTGATGATTGGATTCAGGTATTTATACCTTCCTTTTTATAGTTTGTCTTTTTACCTGTAGCATATATATTTTCTTTCCTTATGCATGCAGTACTTAATATTATATTTGACGATAGTAATTAAAATTTTAAAAATGCTGCGTTTTGGCCTAATATATTTATGATGACCTATTCATGGAATATTTGAATTTTTATTTTAAAAAACCCTTACCTTCTTTCACTTATTGGAACTTGAAAAAATAATCTTTGATATTACGTATTAAAAAATGCTGCGTTTGGCCTCAATGTTTTTTGGTCACAATTACTGTAGGCACTTGTTAAGAAAGATCCAGTGAGACGTCAGGTTTTACGTGTTAGAGGTTGTTTGGCTGGATCAAAGGCTGAAAATCTTTTAGAACAAGGCGATATGGTCTTAGCAATCAATAAAGAACCAGTCACATGTTTCCGAGACATTGAAAATGCTTGCCAAGCGTTAGACAAATTAAATTCGACAGATGGGAAGCTTCACATGACTATTTTCCGGCAGGTATGTGTCAGTATTTGCTAGGCATGGCAACGGGGCGGAGCGGGGGCGGGTTTTGCCTCCCCGACCCCCGCCCCCGATATTTTTAATCGTCCCCGTCCCCGCCCCCGATCCCCGCCGGGGTTAAAATTTAAGTCCCCATCCCCGTCCCGGTTGGGTTTCGGGTTTCCCGCCCGCCCGTCCCCGTTCTATGGTATTATTTTAAAAGTAATTATATATAAATTATAATAAAATAATTTAAAATTATTATTTTTTATATTTTATTTTTTATAACAAATAAATATAATATTATAATTTTTAGAATATTATTATTGATTGAGTGTATATTTTAATTTATTACGTTTATATTAAAATATTTATGCATAAAAAATATATTTGATCATTCTTTTTTTCTTCTTATTATAAGTTGTTAATCCTTTAAAATTATTAATCCTTGTAAACAATATATAATAAAAATAAGTTTCAACTAATGATCCTTTTAAAATAATTATGAAATACATCTAAAAATACTAATAAATAAGTAAACAAAGTTTCTCATGGAAAATAATATAAGAAAACTGCATAATAATGCATAACCGTGCATAACAATACATATAAGAAAAATAACAAATATTGGATAATTTAATGATCATCCTCCAAATGAGCAACAATGCCACTGTCCATCAATTCACCTACATAATTTAAAATAAAATATAATTAGTTAATTAACATAAAAGATAAAAAAATATAATTAGTTAATTAACATAAGATATGATATATGATAAATAAGAATAGTAAACCCGAGAAAACATGATATAACAAAAACCTAATAAAACCAAATTAGAAATAAAATGATACATTGATGTACATATTTAGAAAAAGATAAATAAACAAAAAATTACCTTATGCGCTCGATAAACTGGTTGATAATACTTGGAGAAGTTGATCAGAGAACTCAAACTAGTTAAAGAGATAGGAGAAGCCAAATGTGAGTTGAACTAAGACTAGTTGTGAAGAGATTCAAAAAGGCAAAGAAATTCAGAATAAATGGAAGTAAAGTGAAGGAAAGGAACACACTACGTAATGAGAAGATAAAGGGTATTATAAGAAAACAAAAAGGGTAATGTGAAAAGACTAAGAGTAATAAATAATGTGAAAAGATTAAGGGTAATGTGAAAATACTAAGGGTAATGTGAAAAGACAGAGAGTTATATATCAGGATTTAAATTTAAATATAATTAACATTAAAAAAAGAAAAGAAGACAAACAGACAAATAATTAATATTTTAGAATTTAGGTTTAAATATAAAGTCGGGGCGGGGACGGGGACGGGGGCGGGGTGGGGATTGCATTACCCATCCCCGCCCCCGAACCCGATTTCTTAAAGCGGGGAAAACCCGAACCCGAACCCGAACCCGGTCAACTCGGTTTTTCCCCGTCAACTTCGGGGCGGGGACGGGTCGGTCACCACGGGGACGGGTTTGATTGCCATCCCTAGTATTTGCTCCATGATTGAAGTTATATTTTTCTTTTGATAGAGTTTGTGGAGCCTGCTAAATGGAGTTTTTGTGTTCTTTGTTTTTGGCACTCTGATTACGCCGTACTGATTAATTTGCATATTGTCAGGGACGAGAGGTTGAACTTCTTGTGGGAACAAATGTTAGGGATGGAAATGGCACTGCCCGTGCAATTAATTGGTGTGGTTGTATTGTACAAGATCCACATCCAGCAGTTCGTGCTCTTGGTTTTCTTCCCGAAGAAGGTCATGGTGTATATGTGGCAAGGTATGATTTTAACTTTGTACCTGCAAAATTTTTCAAGTCTGCGTAAGTGTAAAAATGTGCCTAACTAATGGACAGTTGGGGTCTGTTCGGACATTTTTTTTCCAGAGAATTTCTAGGAGAGAAAAATATTAAGAGAAAAAATGACATTAACTTTTTCATAAAGTTAAATTAGCTTTATGCATAAGCTAATTTTATTTTGGGGGAAGTTATATGAGAGAGCTTCGACAAATTATCTTTTGGATAAGCTCATTTTAATTTTTAGTGAAATCAATTTCATTTTCTTCTTACTTTTCTCTCCCAGAACTCCTTATGAAGACGCTCGTTCAAACTAGCATTATTATATGTAAAATTTCCTAATGCCTACTGTATTAGTGAGCAAACTCACTTAGAGTATGCTTAGAAATTGCTGTTGTCATGTCAACTTTATATGATGGACTCTGAATCAGGGTCTATATTGCTAGATTTATGATCTGAATTTTAATAATAATAATAATATATTTCCCAACATTTTCACTCAATTTTTCCACACCAACATATATGGTTAATTACAGTTGTTGGTGATTTCACATGGACTGAAAATACAATCAAACTATAATACGTAAAGGGGTGCAAACTTCTTACAATTTGGTTATGTAAGGATTTCATTATTCTTAAACTCCACTTTCTCAGATGATATTCATACATTCAACTCTTCATCCGTATACAGCTTTTCTCTGCTCACCACTGTGCAGATTGAGACTTGAGAGTGTATTCGTGAACAATTTTTGAAGATTGGCTTTATGGTCTATCTGATCGTTTTTTTCTTTCAGTCCAGTAATTTGGAACCCACGCCGTTTCTTTATTTAAAATTAAAACTAAAGTATTATTATATAAAATTATAAATAAGTAATTATATCCTTTTTAATTTTTCCTAATTATTTCTTGCACTTTATGTTGACATACTACATTTTGTATATTTGTAAACTTGCTCCTCCTCTCGCTATGCATACTCGTTGACTACACTACCTGCTTACAACAAAATTTGTTAAATTCACAGGTGGTGTCATGGGAGTCCTGTACATAGATATGGTCTATATGCTCTTCAATGGATAGTGGAAATTAATGGAAAACCAACTCCAAATCTAGATGCTTTCGTTGATGTGACAAAGGTAATTTACTGTGCATGGAAGCAACTGTACTTATACGCTGTTCCTCCATTTTCTTCCTAGTTAGAGCGTGTATGTATGGAATCTGATATGATGTTCATAGTGATCTTGATTACTCTAAAATGCATGGCACGTGTACATCTGGAACATATATGGTGTCTGTTTTATGTTCTATGATGAATGTACCCACTTAATAATGGTTGTTTTGTTACTTATTTACATGAAACATTTATGGAATTTTGTAAACCCGTGATGTTTCTGCTACAAGTTTTTTTTCCTTTTTTTAAGTACTGGCAAATCTTCATATTTGATGAAGAATATCGTAATTCCTCTTGTCAGGATCTAATAATACTGTTTCATTGATGGAATCACGGTTTTTGGATGCACATTTATATCCAGTAATAGCCAAGCTGCAATTTATCGTTGTTCTCATCGATTATTCTTGTCTTATAATCATTTATTGAATGTTGGCAGGAACTAGAACATGGGGAGTTTGTTCGGGTAAGGACAATTCACCTCAATGGGAAGCCACGAGTCCTAACATTAAAGCAAGATTTGCACTACTGGCCTACGTGGGAATTGAGATTTGATCCAAATTCTGCGATGTGGCATCGCAATATAATCAAGGGATTGAACTGCAGTACTTGATGAATATGTAATTCTCACGCAGTCCTGTGGAAACAGCTGCACGGGAGCATAAAAAATCTTGTGGAGGGCATCTTCCAGGTTCAGAATTATGGTTTAGCAGTGCTGCCGCCCCGTTGCAAATTTGATGCTCTAGTGCTAAAGATATTCTGTTGCATGGCCCTGATTCATGAGTTTATGAGGCATTCGATTCTGGCTGGCTATGGCAAATATTTGGATTGTGTAAACCTGTAGGTGGATTATATTGGATATTGGAAAGATTGGATAATTAAAGAAAAATGAAAGATAAATCTTCACAGAATGTATCATAGACCAAAAGAGTTTTTCTTTGGTTTGTGAATATTTTTGTTAACTCTCCTTAGCTTGAATTTCTCCTTCATTATTCAAATTTTTAATGTAAATAAATAGCCAAGTTAGAAACTACGTGCTTTGTAGTTCATACCCTTTACCTCCGTCTTCCTTATTTTTTTTTTTTTTTTTCATACACTATCGAATAGAGTAGTGGATAATTTCAGTTGAATAAAGTAAAATTTATAAAGTCAAAATAATATTATTTATGGCTAATTAAGTTTGTATCTTAATACGTCTGCAGACAGTCACCATTACATGGGATATATGCAATTTGACAAACTTTTCCGTATAATTGTTATTGTATGTTTACGTAATTTTTATTCATCTTGTTTATTCATATTCTAATTTTAAATTTTTTGTATTTGATAGATATTTAAGTGAAATATCCGACCATATTTCTCCATAGAGCCACCTGAATGATATACGTCCACTTTTGAACGCTAATTAAGGGGTGAAAATAACCACGATGTGGAGTATAACCACGTCCAACAACTAATAACCTCAAAAAAAAATTTGGATAAAAAATTTGGATAAGCTTTAATTATGATGATATGACGACACGTATATTTTTAAGGTCTTGAAAATAGTAAATATGCAAAATTGGCCTATGCTGCTGAAAAGTAATCTGGTCATCCTCCATTAACTGAAAAGTAATGCACACGTTAGTAAAAGCTATGCTGCTAATTTAAATTTTGAATTATTGCGCATGACATATCAGAATCAATTTTCCTAAGTTAATACTACCAGGAATGAGATAAGTGCATGAGAATTAAACTGGAAATGGAAAAAAATAATCTGAAGAGAGAATCAAAGTTGAGACCAAATTTAGGATACATTTTATTATTTCCTTAATTTTGTTTTATTATTACTTTTCCAATAAACTTGATTTACTTTTTAGTGAATCAATAAATTTTTCTGTTAATTCTTAAGTTATTTAATAGAAAATGTCATATGATGATACCAATGATATCAATAAAAAATGTGACTAACATAAATTTAGCACGCCTAAAATTATAACTATGTCAACGTGATATAGCATTTAAAAAAAATTATGAAAAGAACTAAATTATTTCACTTTAAAAAAATATATGATTAAATTGGCAATAACAATAATAATTAAACAAAATTCAAAATAAAAAATAAAAAAACTATGTAGTCCTAAACTTATTTTTCAAGAATGTAAATTTAGCTTCATGATGTCATCCAAAAGTAGCGTTGCCAATGATAGTCCTCCCAAACCAGCCAAAACAAGCAACCCCACTGCTCTGTTCTCAGCACCAGAATAATAATATACCCAAGTATATGGTTTTGGAACACCTGGCACAGGCACGTATACGAATCTCGGTGGTGGTGGAGGTGGCAAGGGATTGCAGTTCTGAGGACATGTGGGAAACTTAGGAGGAGGTGGTGATGTTGGCGGTGGAGGCGGTGGTGATGGCAGTGGTGGCGGTGGCGGAGGCGGCGATAGACAAGGAGGTGGTGGGGGTGGTGGAAGCTGCTCACCACAGGTGTCTCCACAAGGACATGATCCACACTTGATTTCAGTCTCTGCTGGTGGTGGAAACAGTGGTTGGTCTAACTTCTTAGAAGATATTATGGCTTCTTCAACAGAATATGAAAATGAAATGCATATAAAGAACAACACTATTGAAGGCTTTTGAGGCCTCAAACTCAGTGCTGGAGAAGCCATTCTATGAGCAGCAGGGGACTTGGAATTTACTTCTCTAAAGTCAAGGTATAAAAACGAATGCGAGAGAGAGAATTAATATGTGAAGAGGGTTGAAGGGGTTGCTGATGCTCTTGCCTCACGTCGAGTTCACAAGTGGTGTGATGAAGCAAAGGTCATCAGCATTAGGTAGCATAGGTCGTTTTGGAAATTGCATATAGTATGAGATTGAGGTAAGGCAAACTTTGTTTAGTTATATGCGTTCTTGAACACTGTTTGACAGCGGATACATGTGGTTGTTGTAAATGTAGTGGACCTTGTTTCGACTCTTTCAATTCTGGGGTTTAGAAGTAAGAATGGTCAATCTTGTATAAACTCTCTGGAGAGTTTAGTGAGAAAACCTCACTTTCTGAAAGGGGTTAATTTCTTTGTACAATTATATGTTCCAAATACCTTCTGGCAAAGAGCCATATAGTGGTGGGTTCTTTATTCCCTACACTTTTGACGGTGCATAAGAATATTTGTCTTTTGCATAAGGTAAGGTGATCAGATTCAGGCATCAATTGCACTGTAGTTTTATCTAACTCTATTGTGTATGCTCTTTTAACTTTCATGCCTATTGCATGAGGTATATAAGGTCATCAAACTAGCTTCAGTAGTGGACAATCTTACGTATAAAATAAAAGCAAAATAGACATAAAGAATTTCGACCTTGTCATCGTTTCCCTTACAACATAAAATTAGAATGTAGTATTGAATAATGATCATATCATATCATAGTATTACAAATGAAAAGAGAAAGACGAAATGAACAAAGACTTTATCTGTGTCAACGATTAGTTATTCTTGTGGGATTTAGCAGGCTCACGGGAAAGCAAATGATATCTTTAAATCCATTCAATTTTAGTTTAATTTCAAATGACATCTTAACATGAAGTTCAAAACTTTTTTTTTTTTTTTTTTCTATGTTGACGTGTACAGTCATACTACATTATCTCTTAAAATGAAAAGTATAAGGGGGAAATTAACCTTTCTTTTCTGATCTCTTGACAATAGAATAGAATGCTTCACTTTGCATAAAGTGGGAAGCTGTCACTGTTCTTCCTCTTATGTGACCAATTATTGAAATCTTATTTAATGTAGCTTGCACTTGCCACAGAAGTATCTTAAAATTATATGTCTTTTTACATAATTTCTTGCGACAGATTAATCTTTTAGCGAGGCTCAGCTCTCATTTAATTCTTGCACATTAAGAAAGGAATCACATGCCCGGAATTTAGAACTAAAAAAGTGTGTAGATATATACACTTTTTCTCCCAAGGGATCAGCCATTCATTTTCTACCTCTTCATTATTCTTGGCCACTCCCAATTGTAGTTACATGTCAACCATTCATGTATGAGTTGTAGGGTTCCATTTGCATCAGATTTATCACAAACAAATTTAAAATATAATATGGATTGAGAAGGTGTGTAATAAAGATGTAGATTACAAGTAATAAATTATTTTTCTTGTATTCAAAGAATTTATACTTTTTTTTCGTATATAATTGCAATTTGAAAAATTTATATCAATACATGTTTGTGGTAAATACACCATATATATTATCTCCATGATATAATATATATGCATATATGTGTATTGGTTTTTATTTGCATTGCTGCATAAAGACGCACTTTGACACTCAGAATTTATTCTGTTTTTACAGATAATAAAGATGAAGGAACCAGATGCTCAGTTTCATGTTCCTAGCATTGGTTATTTTGCATATATGGTTGTTTTGAAGCCATGCAAAGGACAATAAGTTTATTTGTGGATATAGATATATCTTAGAATGGTTAGACTTACAGTTTGGTCATCTCAGAAGATGAATATTGACATCCATGGTTGGTTTCTTGAAAACTCCTTTAACCTTATTTTCTTCAACTAGTTACTATGGGAGCAACATATTTTTGTCACACAAGAGTTGTTTGGGAAGAACAACGACAGTTATTTACGTTCTACTGTGTCTCACAAAATTTCTGATCGCTGAAATAAGTAGTGCAGTCTGTTCAGTAAGAAATTAATTAGGTTGTTTAACATAATAAAAACAATGTGGTACTATTAATGAAACATTATTTTTAGCAAACATAAGAGTTACCCGAAGTGTATTATATTGGAAGAGTATTAGTAACACAAAGTGTAACACTTAATTTAATAAACTCTCGATTAATTAAAATTCATTAAATAGAAAATAAAACCCATGAAATTCAGTAAATGATAAACTTCCAAAACAACCGCCCTGACCAAGACAAGACAATCTCCTGTACACAAGCACAACTAATAACATTAGATGAAAAAAATTATAATTAATTTTATAAACATGAACTTTATAATACAATATTGATTTACTCACACAATAATAATTTTCAATTTTTGAATTAAATATAATTAAAAAGAAAACAATTACGACCGTCCTTCCGAAGGACACATGTCGCGGAACTTCTGCAGAAAACACAAAACAGAAGATAAGAACTAAAAGAATGACACGTGTCCAACTAGTCAAGCAAAGAAGTGAGACGTGTAAGACACGTGGCTCATGAACATGCAAGAGGTCCTCCAATCACAAAACCCAAACTTATCTCATTCCTCCCAACACTACACTATAAGAGTTGACCAATGTCTCCAACTTCGACGTGAACAAAAATCAAAAGCTTCTATTAGGGTACTACGATACATTCATCATCATCATCATCGTCGCATCAAAAACAGAAGCATTGAAGATGGTTGGAATCGGGGTTCCCATTTGCGTGCAATGTGGGACGAGGAGCAACCCTTGCCGGTGCAAGGTGGTGGGGCCGACACTGGGGTTCGTGGCGTTTGCGGCGGCGGTGGTTGAGTGGCCCGTGGGGGCTCTTGTCTACTGCTTTCGCCACTCAAAGGGTCGTAAAATTATGGGTCATCCTGCTTCCGTCGTATACCCTTCAGTCACCAATGCCATTCCCATCTAATTAACTATATATTATAAATAAATATAATGATATATTATATGGTATTTGCCACTGTGTTATTAATTTATATCTTGCATTCTTCTTCTTCTTCCTTTTGGTCAATTCAATTGCCAACCAATGCTTATGTATAATCCTTGGGTTACCTTTATCTGTACAATGCATAAATGAATACTATAATATATTATACTAGTTTTTGAAATATTAGTATAATATATTACTAGTGTAAAGTTAAATAATCTATATTTAAACATTTTTTACATATTCTTTTATGTTTTTCATAAAATATATCTAACCAAAAACCGGTCCATATATATTTTTTGTACTTACATTTAATTAGCTCGTCCTAACTTATTTATTCATATGATCTGATCAATTTTATTTTATTTTTTACTAATAGGAGACCTCAACTTGGTTAAACTTTTTGTTGTGATTCTAGCTGAATTGGCCAAATTTTAAAATTTAAAATTATTTTTAAAATTTAAAATTATTTTTAAAATTTAAAATTATTTTTAAAATTTAAAAATAATATTTTACTTATTATTTCTATTATCTTAAAATAATATTTTAATAACTTACGTGATGTTTGTTTGTACATTTTTCTTGTTAACTTGTCTTATTATTATTTGTACACTTATGTTTTGTTTTATTATCTTTGTACACTTGTCTTGTACAATCTTTGTACACTTGTCTTGTACAATCTTTGTACACTTGTCTTGTACAATCTTTGTACACTTGTCTTGTACAATCTTTGTACACTTGTCTTGTACAATCTTTGTACACTTGTCTTGTCTGTACAATGTCTTGTCTGTACAATCTTTGTACACTTGTCTTGTCTGTACAATCTTTGTACACTACACTTGTCTTGTCTGTACAATCTTTGTACACTTGTCTACACTTGTCTTGTCTGTACAATCTTTGTACACTTGTCTACACTTGTCTTGTACAATCTTTGTACACTACACTTGTCTTGTACAATCTTTGTACACTTGTCTACACTTGTCTTGTCTGTATAATCTTTGTACACTTGTCTACACTTGTCTTGTACAATCTTTGTACACTACACTTGTCTTGTACAATCTTTGTACACTACACTTGTCTTGTCTGTACAATCTTTGTACACTTGTCTTGTACAATCTTTGTACACTTATGTCTTGTCTTATTATAACTTGTCTTGTCTTATTATCTGTACAAAACACTTGTCTTATTATCTGTATAACTTGTCTTGTCTACACTTCTTATCTGTATAACTTGTCTTGTCTACACTTCTGTACACTTATGTCTTGTCTTATGTCTTGTCTTATTATCTATACACTTGTCTTATTTTATTATCTATTATCTGTACATTTGTCTTGTCTTATTATCTGTATTATTATATAATACCTGATATTGTAATAACTTGTCTTGTCTACACTTCTGTACACTTATGTCTTGTCTTATTATAATTTGTCTTGTCTTATTATCTGTACACTTATGTCTTGTCTTATGTCTTGTCTTATTATCTATACACTTGTCTTGTTTTATTATCTATTATCTGTACATTTGTCTTGTCTTATTATCTGTATTATTATATAATACCTGATATTGTAATAATTGTCTTATTATCTGTACACTTGTCTTGTCTTATTATCTTGTCTTATTATCTATATACTTGTCTTGTTTTATTATCTATTATTTGTATATTTGTCTTATCTGTACAGGTTACCAGGTAATACTTGATATTGTAATAATCGTCGATTAACAAGAAGAATATACTGCTCTTCACACTTGTCTTGTCTTATTATCTATTATCTGTACATTTGTCTTGTCTTATTATCTGTATTATTATCTGTACAGGTTACCTGATAATACCTGATATTGTAATAATCGTCGATCAACAAAAAGAATATACTGCTCTTCAAGATCAACAAGAAGAATATACTCTTCTGTACATTTGTCTTGTCTTATTATCTGTATTATTATCTGTACAGGTTACCTGATAATACCTGATATTGTAATAATCGTCGATCAACAAGAAGAATATACTGCTTTTCGAGATTAACAAGAAGAATATACTCTTCGAGATCAACAAGAAGAATATACTGCTTTTCGAGAATGTATAACTCTGGAAATTTCAATAATTTGTTTAATTGATACAACTTGTCTTGTCTTATTATCTGTACAGGTTACCTGGTTACCTGATAATACCTGATATTGTAATAATCGTCGATCAACAAGACTCTTCGAGAATGTATAACTTTGGAAATTCCAACAATTTGTTTAATTGATACAAATTGTGACCCGGACCTCACCGATATTTCAATTCCAGCTAATGATCAATTCGATTAATTCTTAACAAATTAGTTTTTGCAATTTGTGAGGGTCGTTCTTATTATCTATACACGTACACGTGTCTTATCTGTACACTTGTCTTGTCTTATCTGTACACTTGTCTTAGTATCTGTAATACACTTGTCTTATTATCTGTAAGACACGTGTCTTATTATCTGTACACGTATCTTATTATCTGTACACGTATACTTGTCTTATCTGTACACTTGTCTTATTATCTGTAGTACACTTGTCTTATTATCTGTAGTACACTTGTCTTATTATCTGTACACGTACACTAGTGTACTTATTATCTGTACATATTACTACACCATGCACTACACTATACTATATTACCATACTACACCATACTATATGTATTGCTTTCAAGGTAAGAATTTTTTTCATAGGATATAGGATAAGAATTTTTTTGGATATAGGATAAGAATTTTTTTCATTTGAAAATTTTTTGGATATAGGATAAGAATTTTTTTTATTTGAAAATTGTAGCATTTGTTGTTGTTTGTTATTGATTTATATTTATACGTGTATCTCTTTAATATATTAATTTATACGTGTATCTCTTTGAAATTGATTTATTGGGTTTTTTATTAATAATAAAATTATTACCAATATAATAAAAAAAAAAAAAAAAAGTGAGTCGCTCACTTATTTTTGAGCTAACGCGTGTGAACCAGATTGGCTCACTCTAACATCCGTAGCATTAATAACATGTTAACTTACTTTTTCTTTTACTATATATTTTTATCACTAATTGTCAAAATAGACTCCACCCACATTATTTAAATAGACCTGTGCAGGTCAGAATTCGGTAATTCGATTATTCCATTTAATTCGATTAGAGCCCCTCATTAATAAAATACCTAGATTACAGAAAAGGATTTTACTTTTTTAGAAAAGAAAAAATATATTTTATTTTCTCAAAAGAATTATTGGAAGTTTGTAATAAAATAATTGATTCTTATTAAAATTTTATTTTCAAAAAAAAAAAAAAAAAAAAAATAATAATAATATATATAAATATATATATATATATATATATATATATCCTCGAAACCAACAAGATACTAGTTTATACTAAAAAAACTAACAAAATACTAGATTACAGAAAAACATATTTTATTTTTAAAAAAGAATTACAAAAATATTTTATTTTTTTAAAAAGAATTATTGAGAGTTTTATTTCTTACTACAATCCCAACTTATATTTATTACTTAAAAAAAATAATATATATATATTATTTATATATATTTATATATGATAATAATTTAATCATTATATATTAATATATTTTAAATATTTATATACTTATATTTATATATATATATATATATATTTACATATTTATATATTGATATAATTAAAAATTATTATATTCATATATATTTATATATTTTAAATATTTCTATGTTTGTATATAATATATATATATATATATATATAATTATATAGTTAAATATTAATATATGAATATAATTATATAATTAAATATTTTATATGTTTAGATAATTAAATATTTATATATGAAAATATATTTATAAATATTAACATTTATTTAATAATTCTATATTTATATATTTTAATTATTTATATATTTATATACTGATATAATTGTATTCGATATATATTTATATATTTAAATTTTAATGTATTAGTATATTTATATTTATAAGTATATATATAATTATAATAAATTCTGACTTTCACATTAAACCGGTATTTGGGTAAATAAAATTAGTAAAAATCTATTTTCGTAATTAATAATTTTTTTAATATCATTTAAGACAAAAAGTCCTTCTTATCAATTCTTTGTCTTCCTCATCTGTTTATTTTACTAGGTAACTTCTTATATTTTGGTATAATCTTTATTTTACATATTTTATTTCAAGAAGAAAAATGATAAAATAAAAATATTTTATACTTTTAACATGTATAATTTGGTGACGACTATAACATTCTTTAATTACAACATTGGGTCGAAAAATTCAAGATTTAAAGATTTAAAGGTTCATCGGATTTAGCTAATTTTTTTAATGGTCCAGTTTTCAGTATAACAATTTAATTTCTAAGTTCGACCAAATAATAAAACTCATGCCTTTTAAAATAATTATTTTAAAAGTCAATAACATAAGTAATAATTGGGCCAAAGATTTATCTCACATTAAAATTAAATTAAAAATTATATATTTTTTTATTAAAAACTTGTCTAAATGTCCTAAATAATAAAAATATAATTATTTTACATAAATTTACTGTTCTAAAATGTTTCTAACGTAAAATTAAGTATCTTTACTAATATATATATATATATATATATATATATATATATATATATATATATTATTTTTCTTTTCTTTAATGTTTTTACGCAAAGGATAAAATAGAAAATGACGTAAATATAAACTAAATTGTTACACACTATGAAATAATTACTTTTTCTTTTCAACAAAAAAGTTACAATGAGTGCAACTATTATGTTATTTCAAAGTAAGTTAAAAAAAATAGTGATGAGTGAATTGAAAAAAGAAATATACTTTTTAAAATAATAAAATAAAAATAATGACATGTAAGTGTGTGTTGTCATATAATAATAGCTAATTTACAGTTGAAAAAATGTAAAAAGTTGATGATTCGAATGTGATGTCTGATGAAGCCGCTTTCCTTTTTGCTTTGGAGAGTTCAGTCATGTTCTGTTTCTCTTCCTTTCTTCTCCCTTGTCTTCTCCATACACATTCACATTTTACCATCTCAAAATTCTGATCTCAGGATGCACCCATTTTCCTCCACTTTCAATTAAACTTCCAATTAGGAGTTGAAGAACCAATTTTCGCACATCAGAGGGAGAGAGAACATCTTTGTATCAGGTCCGAGATTTTTCTTTCCATGATTCATCTCTGCTTCTTCCAATTTTGCCTTCATGTTTGGATTTTCTGATTTTACATTAATTTTGCTTCATCTAGTTCGTGCTCAATTCCAAAGTTCCTTTTTTTTTTTTTCAAATTTTCGTTTTGGTCGATTCATATACCCAGTTTTTTGGTGTACCGTAAATCTGTGAGAATTTTTGCTAGCAGTGGGATCTATTGTAAAAATTGAAAATTTACATTTGCCTTTTTTAGGAAAGGGTATTATTTGTTAAAAACGGTTGGGATTAAATTGAAATGTAGAGTAGGTAATGAAACATATCGTGGAATTAATTACTCATGTCATGGTGAAAAGGAATGGGAGGTTTGTGAAGCATTGGAATGTGGAAAATGGGAAATTTCTACGATTTATTTGGATGAATTATAACTTCACGCTATGTTGGTCTAGGACTGAAAATCTCATAGGAGATGTGTTATTACATTTCATGGTCCACATTACACCCCAAGCCATTGTATATCGTGTTATAGTGCTTCGTGACATAGGACCTAATGCTCAACTTTATGTATGAAGGGTTGAGTTAATTATGATTGGAGTGCCAGCTCTACATGGTGTAAAAGTTTGCCCTGCAGAAACTGGTTAAACTGGCGTATGGGGTAGAAAAAGGACAAGTACTATTGGTGTTCAATAGTCAATTGGAAACGCTATTTAACATTGATCCCCATTTGAACTACTATGCCTGCATTGTTCCCTTGAGAACCATAGATAGAGAATAGACATCTTTGAAAAGGGAAATAGAATTTGTCCTTTCCGCTGAAGGATTAATACAGGATCAGTTGATTCATTTTATTTTTTTGGAAGACCTTTTGGCTATAGTAATCTGTTAGCGAGCAGGATGCTTCCTCATTTTCTGATAAAAAGGAAACTGAGTGACATATGGCTAATTCAGCAAACTGATTGCCGTTTACTTGACATTTAATCTTTGGATATTCTTTGATCAATAAAGTCTAAAGATCAGGTATATTTTACAGTTTGACATGAAATTTTTTCGCAATTGATTATATTCAATATGGAAGCTGAATAAACCTTGTATTCTGGAATTTTTTTTCTTTCTGAAATATTATGGTGGTTTGAAGGTGTTCATCATTATCAACCTAATTCAGTAGATTGATTCTAAAAATATTTATATATTGCATGTTTGATGAAATAACTAAGTCGCATTTTTCCACTTTCTATGTTTATAAACTTGTAATACTTACAGTTTAATTTTGTTTTTTTGGTAGTGTTGCATCCACTCTCAGATGGGTGTAGTGAGGGAGGTGATATTGGATGAATCAGTGCTCTTGGCTGAAAGAGATGATGAGCAAACTATATCTACACTACGACCAGTAGCGGAGTCTCTCATCCGGACACTCTTCCTGTCCAAAATCCCTAGCAGAATTGCTTATGATTCGGGCCTTGTGGATGATAAGGTGAGTATTCTTAAAAGAACTGCTAATTTGTACTCACTTGATTGCTTCACCTTAAATGATTCTGCAAGTGAGGTTAAACCAGGATGGAATAATACTGATGATGGCAGTGTTATTTATGTGGTTTCTAATAAGAAGGAGTTCTTACCTAAGTTAGGCAGCTATGTTGTTGTGAATGTTGGAGGTGAAAGTTCATGTCACGATCCTAACATAATTCGGATTGAAAACTTAGAAGAGTTACCATTAACCATATGCCGCTTAAATAAAAAATTAATCGGAACCAATGCTGTGACTGTGGGTTATACGATGAAGCCTTCCCGTGTGGAAGATTTTGCAAATAGGGGTGCCTTTCCTTTGTGTCCTGTTCAACATGAGTTGATGTTTGTGCCTCTCACATCCAATTTGCCTTTATCATCTCAGCTAAAGGATGTTGACATAGTTCTCCACAAAGCTACCGATGAAATATTATCTATTGAAGATAATAAACTTACTTTTACACAGAACATGCAAGCATTGCAAAGATATTTGGATCAGCACCAGGATATCTGTGTGATTGATCCACTGAGTAACGTCTATCCTTTATTGGATAGGCTAGAAATTCAACAAATTCTACTTGGCTTGGTAGAACTGAACACTGAAGGCAAATGTTTGATCAGAGGGGCCCATTTTCTGAAGGTTAATAACTTTGATGAATTTGATTTTGCAACTGCACTATCTGAAGCTAGATTGTCTCTTCCATGTATAGTGAAACCTAAAGTTGCTTGTGGTGTCAGTGATGCACATAAGATGGCAATTATTTTCAGAGTTGATGATTTTAAGAATTTAAGTGTTCCTCTTCCAGCTGTTATTCAGGAATATGTGGATCATTCATCCACTTTGTACAAATTTTATGTTTTGGGAGAAAAGATTTTCTATGCTGTCAAGAAGTCAATACCAAATGCGAGTATTTTGATGAAATCATCTAATGGTGATGAGCTCAAACCTCTTCTGTTTGATAGCTTAAAATCTCTGCCCGCTGCTGACAGTATCACAAGTAATGAGTCTATTGACCTTAAGTTGGTTACAGATGCTGCAAATTGGCTTAGGAGAAGGCTTCACCTTACCATATTTGGTTTTGATGTTGTAATTCAAGAAGGTACTCATGACCATGTAATTGTGGATGTAAACTATCTCCCATCATTTAAGGAAGTTCCTGATAACATCGCTATTCCTGCTTTCTGGGAGGCCATAAGAAATAAGTTTGACTGTTGGGTGTCTAAATAAGAATTTGTTTGAACTTTGTGACTATTTGACATGGAATAATGTCAGTGATTGCATCAGACGATGTATTAAGCAATAGATTAAGCTGAAAATAGATTGAATAACTCGTTATTGCTTATTTGAAGTTTGGAATACTTAAAACATGTTACTAATGCAATCCTATGCTGCTTCTGCTATTTGATGATATATTACTTTGCAAGAAACTTTTGGGTAGGATTATTGGCACTTTAATTGTTAACATGTGCTAGATTCTGTGGGTTATATATTAGAAATACTTAATTTCATCTCTTCATGTTTTCTTTTGAATTTGATCCCCTATTTTTTTTATTGTGAAACCTTAGTTCATCTGTTAAATTAACTTTTAATATTTAAAGAAAATGTTAACTCTAATAGAGTAAATGAGTGTATGTGTCAATGTATTATAATGTCATATAAAGATTTTCGTCAAATATTGGATATTAAGTTAAGAAATGGACCAATATTATAATCAAAATATTGGAGGGACCAAATTCGTCAAATTAAGAAGGTAGAGACCAAAATTTCAGTTAAGACTTTAAAAAAGCACTTGTCCCTAGAAATTACATTTCCAGATTTGACTGCAATGGGGGAAAATTACATCTGATGATCTGAGCACTACTAATCTAAAAATGTATAGACATGTCTATATATATATAGGCTACAAATTTTAGGACAAAGCTAAACTGTTACAGAAGCACACCTAACATATAAATAATGGCTTGCTTCTGCATAAATGACTATCTGGGAGGACTGCTATACACTAGTGACTTTTGAGGTGCTGCTGATTCCTCATGAATTTCTCCTTGTTCTACTGGACTGAAACTCACCCTTTTCTGAGAAAATAAAAATCATATAAAGAACATTAACTTCATTCCCTGAAGAGTTACATATTAACTAATTATACGTGTGAATTAAGATACAATGATGCAATGTCAAGGAAACACTAGGAAAGTACAAATATCATAGGCTAGTCAAGACCAACATTGAAATTTTCTCCACTTGTTTCTTGCCAACTTGGTTTTCAACTTTCAAAGACATTCGGTAATGACTCCGATCAAGTTGCTAAAAAATAACTAGTTAACTATGAATACTTATAATGATTCCTCGTGCTACATTTATCGGCATAGTTGCTGACATACCGACAATGTTGACGTTTTGGCATGGTAACTGTTACCTTCATGCAATATGGCAGAAAGTGCTGCCAAGTGTTTAAATCTAAACCATAGTAGACTTTATCATGCAAATTTTCAAGGTGGGATTGAAGAAAAAAAAAAAAATATATATATATATATATATATATATATATATATATATATATATATATATATATATATATATATATATATATATATATATATAACACTTGCTTTTAAATGTAATGGATGAAGTGTTATTACATTGATAAAATGTGCTTTATAATAAAATTAACTATTAAAAAATTAGATACAAATAAAGATAATTATTAATAACAATTTGTATATTTTTAGAAAATATTATACGGTAGATATATTTACCTATTTACCAATGATTATTTTTAATTGAATTTATTTTACCAATTTGAATGAAATTATTTCAATCAATTTTTCTTCTAGAAAACTTATACATAAGACTTGTTTGAAAAGATCTGAACATGTTTTCACTCCTACCAGGTTGGAATGAATTTTAGTTTTTATTGCATTATTTTGATGTAAAAAGTAATTTTTTGAAGGATAATTTTGTGCAACATTGTTTAATTTAATGTACAACTATGATTTAACTTTTCAAAAAATACATTATTAAAAAACAAGCACCGACTTTTGATACAATCCTGCGTTTGACTTATGCCTATGTATTTGAATATTTGAATTGGATGGTTCAAAATGAACCTGAACTAAGAATACGGCGAGGGCATGTTACATACCATCTTACGACCAAAAGAGAACAAAACAAAAGTAAGGAAAAAAAAAATAAAAAATCTTGTAAACAACTTGAAAAACCCTAGTCATGACTAAATGTTGTATATGTGCAGTTAAAACTTGTAATATAATTTTATTTCTCCACACACCATCATCATCATCAGCAAGCTAAAGTTGATTGCTACTAGTATCATTAAGTATAATTTCTACACGTAAAAAAATTAAATATAATTTTTCGATCATGCTTTCGTTTGCAAGATATCTCATTCTGAAATTTTGGTTGCCGCTGTTTTGATTCCTGAGTTAGAAAATGTCAAAACTTAACATTCAAATTCGATTTTTGTTTTGATATATATCATCTTTCAGGTAGTCAACTAAAAAAACGGCAATTTCAGATCTAATCAAAAGTTGAATTACAAAATTTGTGCTTATTTTAAAATAAAACGGATCAACTCAATCTCAGATATCAGATCATTTAATAAAATTTTAAGAAATCAGTTGGAATATACTGCCAATATAACTACAAATCATCATACATGATGATTTCTCAATTTTTTTTATCTCGACTTCATTAAAATATTTGGAATGATTTATGATTATTAGCAATATCAAATTTGCACTAACGAAAATCAGTCTCAAAATTATGAAATGAGAATTAAAAGTTATGTTATTTTTTTAAAATTTTAATATTTTATCTTAATAAATTTTTGGGCAATATTTAATCCAATTAATCGTAGGATTTCTTTCCTCAAAGGGGAAAAAAACACTAGGGAAAACACAAACTATGCAAAAACTCTAAATAATATAGTGAAAAAACATACAACAAACAAGCTTTTACATGTTAGGAATTATTCTTCCTCTTTATTTTATTTCTTCGCTTTCTAATTTTTATTTTTACGATATTCTTTAGTCCAATTGTTAAGAGTTGGGAATATTATTCAAGATCTTTCCATTTAAATTTAACTTTCAAATAAAACCATTATTATTTTAAATAAATGTTTAACTAAATTTGTTTTCCCATGCTCGCTTGAGATAGGATCATGTGTGAGCATGTACACAACAAAACTTTAGTGTTAGCAAGCAATGTATCCAAAAAGCCGAAGAAGATCACAAACATTCAAACAAAATGTCAAAGATTCGAGAAAACAATTGACAACATTAAAATAATCGAACAATATTAAACAAACACAACATACCCTTCGTTGTTTCCGGTTGTGATCATCCTTTTGGGCCTCCGCCACCGTTGCGCCACAGTCCACGGCGGTGGCATTGTTCCCCATGTACAAACTTAAGATCTTCTCCGCCACCTCGCTCCCGTCGTGACTCTCCTCCATGAGCCTCTCCAACTGGGCCTTGGGCACCCTCATTCTCACCCTGGTGGGCCCACTACTGTCTGGGTCCGGCCCATGCTTCACCACGGCTAGGTCCGAAACGGAGCGTTTCGACAGCATCAAGAAATCGAGCCTATCCTTGGCGTTCATGCCACGGATCCCACTGGATCGCACCCTCCTCGTTAGTGGTTCGGGCCGAACCTTCGGCAACTCCACCAAGAAATAAAGCCTCTTGGGTTTGAGCTCGTGGTCGGGCTCCAAAGGCTTAGCCCGAGGCCCGAAGTTTTTTACCGCGTGAGAGTCCAGTAGAACGTGGCCGGGGTAGTCCTTAACGACGTCGTTTGCTCTAGCTGGAGTCTTCAGCTTAAACGTTTCGCCATCTATTTTCATCACCTTTGCTTTTTTACTCCCCATAGCGTTTCCCATGGATTTTCCTTCACCTTGTGACTACTCACTCTGCTTTATTGGAATTTGGATGTGATTAATTTGGACAAAGGGTGGTGGTGGTGGTGGTTTTGCTCTTTATATTGGCCTCAAACCTAGGTTATTTATATTGTGCCAATTAATAAAAAGTTGACAAAAGGGAATTAGGATTTTGAGGTGTGTGTGTGAATTAGTGGAATTTTGGTGGAGATTCCATACAATAAGGGAAGAGGGGGTTGATGTATAATAGTGGTGTGAAACCATTGATTCAATTAACGGGAGACAAAGTTAAGTTTGGTGGGGTTTAATTTAACTTGGATGGTTATAAATGGGACCACAGTTTTAATTCATGTCATTCATATATGGCTTAAGTCAGTAATAATAGTAAAGAGTTTAGCGTTTTTTCTATTCGTGAGAATGAAAAAAATACCAAAAATATTTTGTTTCGTTCAGGAAATTTATATGACTCTATCAAATGAAATAAAATTCAATATGATTTATACATGTTGAAGTCTTTAAAAAGGTGTTAAATATATGAGAATTAAGTAATTGATGATTTCTGTATAACAACCTGCTCCCAAATTCGCAGCTAAGTCTAAAAATTTTACTAAATAAAATGGGTCGTTATATATTTTTTCCATAGAGATGACGGAAAGGGTCATTTCCCTTTATAGCAATATACGAGTTGTGGAGCCAAGCCAAAATTAAATCTTAATCCAATTCGTGTCTTTCCATTGAAAAAAAAAAGTGTGCTATATATATTATTCATCCTACGAATAAAACAACTATGATATGTAATTTTTTAACTACCAATATAAATGGTGTATAACTAATAGTACTATATCCATACTAAATAAAACAAGATGAGAAATATAATGTAAACATATAACTTACACAAGTCTAAATTTTATGGATATATTGAGAACAGTATTTTATACTATTAACCAATTATCAATCATGTTAATTATTCTATAATTTAATAATATTATTTTATGTGATAAAATTTTTGTTATCATTTAACATAATAAAAACTTTCTACACGACACGATCAATGTATATGTACTAATTTAAGTTGCTAATAGAACATAACATCAATAAAACATACATAAAATCGTTGAAACCTATGATCTTCACAAAAAGCCTTAATTTTGTTGCTTTAATATTAATTTAACAATGAAATCTATCCATGATGATGCAATCAACAATCATTAATGTATCAGAGTATATTATTTCATGTTTTTTTTTTCAAAAAACTGATTTAATTTTAACATGCAGAATACTTCTAGAAAAAAAAAAAAACTATGTATACTGCATGAATTGTGGCATGCTAGGCAACTTTTGAAAGGAGATAAGGCGCTTCAGAGGCCTTTTTACATTTTCTACGTTTTTGTTTCCAAAGTTTATTAAGATTTATGTCTGTTTCTTCATAAAGGTGCTCACACTGTCACAGTATAGAGGTTTCAAATTAAAAACAGCGTTTCTCTCATTTATTTGATCAGTGTTTTATGCTTTCAGCACGTTTCACACGGCAACCTTTATCGTTTGGTGTAATTATGCTATCAAATCACTTGTATCAATTAAAGAGTAATTTAGTCTTTAAACATAAAGGAGTAGGTGCTTTATATTTAACATTGATATGATACCAACACAGCAAATGTTTTTGCTTCAAAATTTGATTGGTTTAACCATATTAACTAAACATTTCAAACCAATATATAATCAGCAGAAATTTATATATATTCATTAAAAATGTAGCTGCTATGATACTAGAAGGCTCAGACCTATACTGAAAATGGGTGAAGCTTTGACCCAATTGGTAACCACGTCCGCTCTCGAGACATCCAAGTCTAGAGACAAATCTGAAGTAATCTCACCAAACAACAACTCTGATGTCTGTAGTTACAACTAGTCTTCTACTAGGACGAATGAAAGGACACGTATGAAACAATATTAAACTAATTCAGATGTTTAAATACTAATTGTTCAGTTCCAATTCATTAATTGATTAAATATACTATACTGTATGTGTGATTAAAACAAGTTCTTGAAGGGACTCCAGTACCCAAAGCTTTCTGAAGATTTACCCCTCCAATCATCTTTGTGAAATAGTTTTCAGTTAGAAGAAACATTATTATGACTTCCTTAGCTTTAACATTGGAAGATGCTTATTTCAACAAACTAAAACCTACCAACTACGCTCATCTCAACAAGCCTGAAAAATAGGTACCAATCAAAACCTGAGTAGGGACATGGAGGCTTATAGCTTAGACCAAACCTCAACCTAACCTTTTATAACGTTCACTTTATAGTGTGTAGTTATGGATAAAGGTGAGAAAAATGTATGGAAATAAAAGGATGGAAAGCGATTAAAGGTGAAGTCTAAGACAAAAGTTCAGAGGAGCACATGGTGGAAATGGTGAAATGTGTGAATGAGAGATGGAATAGGTAGGAACATGACCCAACTGCTTCTCCTCCATAATATATTTTGTACGTGTATATATATTAGTAAATATTCCATACATTATATCAAGGGTCAACAAGAGACTAATTAAATAACTCTATTTTGCTCTCTATGATTCTATCGACACTGAAAATATATATGAAACAAGAACGAGTTAATCTAACTTTATAACATGATATATATAATCTTAACGTTATAAATAGTTTAATTATAAAATAAAAACTAAATATAAAACCTAAATAAGATGTATTTTAAAAAAAATAGTTATGCCAAATATTATCTATTAAATTATACAATATTTTTGATAAAATATTATCTAAAAAGTAATATTTTAAGAGAATATGTGATTAAATCATGTTAGGATTACTAACTTGATCTTTTTAATGACTTCTTCCTTTCATCCTTTTTTATAGGGTGAAATTAAAAATAGCCTAACAAGTCAACCTATTTATGCCAGGGATGTTTAGCTTGCCTAAAAAAAATCACAAGATATGACCAACCTGCCAGCTTTTATTTTATTTTTTATTTTTAAGAAAATTAAGTGAAAATTAGTAATTAATTAGTGTAAGATTGTAGGTATCTGATTCATTCTAATATGAAAGTGATGGATATAGGAAAAAAATTGTAAGCAAATTATAAACCAAGATAAATGTTTTTTTTGTTGTTGTTAATTAATGTTGGATGGAGACCAGTTATGACTCCGGTTAATTAGATAAATGTAATTAAAATATACTGATAAGCACGAAAATGAAAGAAATAGTAACAATAAAGAGCCTAAGACCATTTTCATTAATTTTTTATTAAAAAAATATTAATAATTATTTGGTAGGTTAATGACAGGATAGAGCAGCCAGATCTGCCAGTAAATTAATATATATATATATATATATATATATATATATATATATATATATATATATATATTACAATTTATTTTTTTATTATAAATCTAAAAAATTATTTATTTATTTATCTTGAAATTTAATTAAAGTACTTTATATATTCAAGTATTTACTCATTGAAAAGTTTAACTATATAAACTTAAAATATATTTCATATAACATGTTAAGAAATTAATTACTTAAAATTTCCTAAATCCTCCATGTGTTTTTTGGAGGGAACGGGCCAAAGTCTAACAAAAAGTAAGAAACTCAAATCAAACCGGACGTTGGGCAGAAAGCCCCAAACTAATAAATTAAAGGAGATACAAAATGAAACTGAAAATTGTTATATTTTTATTTATTGTGTTAATTTCAATTTGTAATTAATCAATTAATTTTTAATAATGGAATAGTTTCATATTAATTTAAATTCCTTCCTTTTTTTGGATCCACTCCACACAAACCACAAACTAAGAAACTGAATGAAAGTTTTGCAATTGATTACACCAGAGGGGATTCTGACATTCTTAGGAGAGAGTAACACTACTACAGAATTCACTTTCTACGACACCATCCAACGTCAGTTATCACGAAGACCGACGTTGTACAAGACGCGGTGGCAAACTTGTAATTATGAAACAAAATTTAACGTCGGTTATATCATAAACGACGTAGTAACTGGAATTCAACGTCGGTTATATGACAGACGACGTTAAATGTTTAAATTTAACGTCGGTTATGTATAACCGACGTTGAATTCCCAAAATCAACGTCGGTTACATGATTTACCCGACGTTGAAAGCGTTATCCACGTCGGGTTTTTTAATAACCGACGTTGAATGTCCTATCCAAGGCGCGCGGTTATTCAACTTCTTCTTCGTCCCACATATTCCCTCTTTCGCTTCTTCTTCGCTGTGCCTCAGTCCTCACTGCTGCCCCTCGCGCCCTTCTCGCGCCCGGTCATGCCGCCCTCGCTCGCCTCCTCGCCATTGCTACCTCATTTGCTGTTGTCTGCTGCCCACTCACCGCCCACTCGCGCGCGCTCGCCCCTCGTCAGTGCTACCTCCTTCGCGCCCACTCGCAGCGCTCTCATCGAGGTTAGATTAAGTTGTATGGATGATTTACAGCATGCATTTAACATAAATATGAATTATTTAGAGCATTTCCTGCGTATGAACATTAGAAAGATGATGGATGATTTTGTATATATGGTTTGATTTGACCTAGGTTCGTTTAGGTTTCGAAGTGGTATATGGAACATTAGGTTTCGTTTAGGTTTAGGTTTAGCTTTCGAAGTGGTATATGGAACATTAGAGCATGTATGAAACATTAGAGCATTGTTAGGCAATGTACACGTTTTTTTTGTATTGTTTTGTTAAACCTTTTCTAATAAACCTTGAATATCTAGGCAAGCCTTCTTGTGTAGTTAGATGGATCGAACTTGGGTCAATGCAAGTCGTATGTCAGAAGAGTATGAGAATGGAGTTGACTCCTTTTTGAAATTTGCCGAACAAAATGCTCCCAAAATGAATGGAAAAATCTACTGCCCATGCGTTAATTGTGTAAATGGCAGAGTACAAGAGATGGACACAACGCGGGAGCATCTTATTTGCGATGGGATGATGAAGAATTACACCATATGGACATGACACGGTGAAGTG